AGTGGGACATGGGCCGCGTACGTGCAGGGCGCAGGCAGTCTCCTGGAGCCCGACCTCCGTCCCCAAACGCTCCCTTCCCAGGCCGGCCTGGCGGGCTGCGTGTGGGAGCGGTGCGTGACCCGGAGGCCGGGGCAGCTGGAGGACTGGGGGCCGCGAAGGGAAGAGCGGGTCATGGTGGGGTGGTCTCCGTCCCGGGGAGCGATGAAGGTCAGGCACTGGTATCGGGGCTAGGAGGAGCAACTGGGCCCTAGCCTACTTGAAGGTGGGAAGCCTGAGGCCAAACTTTCTGAAGTTGGGAGGGGGCGGGGGGGTGTACGCGCCGTGGGCGGAGGAGTGGGGGCCGAGGGACCCCGGGCATCTGTGTTCAGCTGCGCCTGAGAAGCAGCGTGTGGCGGTGAAGTGGAACTTAGAGGGTGGAATTATGGCCTGTGACAAAGTGTATACCCCGGAATAGAGTGTGGGAGTGACCCCAAGGGGGAAAAAAACCCTGAAGTGTCCTCAAGGCGTGGCTTTCTCAGCCAGGGAAGAACCCGGGTGAATCTTCAGGAGGGGGTGGGAATGGAAGGTGAGCCGTTGAGTTAGCCTCAGGACTTCAAAGGAGGAGGGAACCAGGCATCTCTTGCTGTGGGGTAATGGGAACAGCAGCTGCAGATCGGAGCCCCAGCCCCTGATCCCAGCGTTGTTTTTACTCTTGACGGGTGTCTTTTTAGTTGCAGGCTCAGACACACCCTTCTGTAGTGTGGTTTGGAGGCGTCTGTTCTGAATAAGTGGAGAGGGTTTGCCTAATCAAAGCCCTGAGCTGTGGCCAGAGGTCAGGGGTTCTTGTTCCTGTGTCTCCGGGGCTCTGGGAGAGAGGTTCTGTTGTCATATCTTTTTGGGTTTTACCTGGCAGGGTGAAGGCATAGAGCCTGAACACCCTCCCCTCCTGGTCAGTTCCAAAGACCTGGTGTGGAGACTGGGAGAAGACCTGCCCTTCTTCCAGTTTCTGGCTGGTGAGGGGACCAGGAACAGAGAGACAGGGAACTGTGACCCCAACAGGAGCTGAGGACAATCATGGGGAAGCTGGCTTGTGTAGGGAGTGAGCTTGTTCTTTGGGCATAAAGACCAGTAGAAAGTTTCAGTCAGATGATGAAGTTTCTTTGGGTAACTGGGACACCTCAAACGGAGTGGGCCACAGAGGCAGGTGAGGAGCCTGGTGTGTGTGAGCCAGGATGCTGGTGAGGACTGGGAGAAGAGCAGAAGGGCACATCAGGGCATCTGTGCCTTCTCAGAAGTGGGTGGCTCAGCGGTTGGGTGTCGGAGTCAATGCATGGGCTGAGCTGCTGCTGCTCGGCCCATAGCTGGGGATGGAGAATTGAAGACAGGTGAGAGAATTGGGGTCTCTCCCACTCAGCACACACACACACACACACACACACACACACCTGGCTAAAGCCAAGAAAGGAAGCCTTGACCAGAATGGAGAAAGGTCTCCCAATGGCCTAAAAATTGTGGAGCCCTGGCCCTGGCAGCCACCTCACCAGACTGGGGTTGTGAAGGAGCATAGTGTAGCATTTGAGGTCAGCACGCAGGAGAGACCTCTCTCTTCACGGCCTTGTCCTGGCTCTGCTGTCAGGTGAACCACCTCCAGCCACTTCTCCTTCTTTTGGGGGTAATAGTGGCACCGATTTTGTTGGGTGATGAAAACCAGGAAGTGAAGCTGTCCCTGTGAATGCTTGCCAGAATTCTCAGCACCTGCCAGGCTGTCGGGACATAACACATGGTCTCAACATTGCACCCTGGGACATACGTTCATTCATTCTTCATTCAGTCAGCGCATACTAAGTTCTCTCCTATCAGGCACTGTGCTCATACGGGGAATACAGAAATAAGGAATAGATGAAGTCCTGGCCTGCAAGGCAGACGGTCTAGCAGGGAAGCTAGAATAACGAGGGGCTGGATCAGCTCCGGAGGCTGGGAACGGCTTCCTCCAGGAAGAGGTGGGCAGGAGAGTTTGAGCAGAGGGGTCTCAGGGGAGTGGGCTAAGCTGGGGATCCTTGGGGAATGGGTAGAGGGTGGGGCACTTTCCCCAAAGATGGTTCCATCCTGTATGGCCAAAGAGACCACAGTAAGGGACTTGAGTGGGTTTTATTGTAAGTGCTGGGGGAAAGCTGCACAGCAGGAGCCAATGAGCATTTAAGGAAAGCACTCTGCTGCCCGCGGAGGGGTGAGAGTGGATACCTGGGATGATCACGAGCCCCCAAAGAGCCACGTGACGGCATTCAAAGCTCTCATGGACATCCGTTCAGCACTTGTTCTAAATGCAGTCTGAGAAGTCCGGGGTGGGAGCATGTGGGGGCGGGGGGTGTGTGTGAGCATTTCTATGTGTGCTTTCTTCATGGCTTAGGGAGGATTCTCGGATTTTCAGAGTCAGGAAGTGGCAGAGGACTTTATATGCCTTCTTGGCAGGGAGGAGGGGGTCGCTGAGGCCAGAATGCATCCAGCCAGGGGACCACCCTGATCTATCTACCATCCTGCTATTGACAGCAGTCTGTTAAGAGACATAGCCTGAGGCTGGGACCTGCCAGAGAGGGCTCAGGAGTCAGGGCTGTCTATCCATCCACCAGGGCCTTTCTGTTTGCTTATTGCTGCCTTCTGGTCCCTAGCCTCCTCTGGGATTGTCCTTCTCAGGGTCAGCCAGCTCCCTGCTGCAGTGCAGGGCACCAACATGCCTATTTCCTCCCACATCCTGTCTCCCACCACAGCCAGCCTGGCTCTGTGCCCTCTTGCCCTACCCTCTTCACCAGCCTCCTGATGCACTGATACAGGCTTTGACCCCTAGAACTCACTCCTCTTTGCCATCACTACCCACCTAATCTTGGGGGTGTCTTCCTGTGCTTGCTGTGTGGCTGGGTCAGACGGCACTACTCTGTAGGTTGGCCAGCCCAGGGTGCTCTCCTCAACGTGAGCATGGAACAGGGTCTCCTGACTACTCTGTCTCAGACATTAAGACATAAGTGCAGTCAGAGGTAACTTATTGGGTACCTCTGAAGACATCGTTGAGCCATCTAGGTGTTGAACAGGGAGCCTGGGTACTGTGGAGAACCTGAAGGCAGCTCCCAGGCTCCTCCTTATTCCTATGAAAAAGGGCAGGGGAAGCTCACACTCTACTCCACCCCAGTGCACCACGTGTGACAGCTAAGCCTTGGCCTCACGTTGACTATTTCTGTCTCAGTGCCCAGCAATAATGAAAAGGACAGCAACCTTTGTGAACGCAGTACCCACACCAAGACCTTTACAGGCATTCATCTGAGCATGACTTATCTGAGTGTTTATGATTGTGACACACTCTTCTGGACTCCGAATATGCCAGCGGAGAAACAAGCTGAACTCCCCCTGGCAACGTTTACAGCCATGTGAGCGGCAGACAGAAGGGCACGAAATAAATAAGTTCATGTGAGGATGGTGGAAGAGATCAGAGCGTTTCTTAGGAAAATGTATTACTGTTGCATTCTGCGTGTATATGTGGATAGGTGGATGCACTTGTGCCTTGGCACGCACATGGAGGTCAAAGGGCAGTCTGTGGGGGTCATTTCTCTCCTTCCACCATGTGAGTCCCAGAGATCCAGCTCAGGTTGTCAGACTTGGTAGCAAGGGCCTTTATCTGTCAAGCCATTTTGTTGGTCCAGGATCATCAGATTTCCGTGGGGAAAGTAAAACGGGATGAGGGAGGCTAGAGCTTTCGGTCCAGGCAGGCCTTGTTGAGAAACACAGTCTGAGCAGAGAATCGAGGAGGCAAGGGTTTGAGCTGTGGGCGTCCATGGAGAGCACCTAGATTGAAGCCCATAGCCAATACAGAACCTGAGCCAGTAATGCCGGTTGGGGTGGAGGGACGCTACCTGGACCCAGGAGGTGAGGAGGGAATGAGGCAGAGAGCTCGGTAGACGTGTGGGGAAGGATGGTGGGAAGGCTAGCTATTATAGAGCCTGAGCGGAGAGGCCACTGGCCAGGTCTCATCATGGGGATGTAAGTTCTAAAAGGGGGGGCTGGAGAGATGGCTCAGCAGTTAAGAGCACTGGCTGCTCTTCCAGAGGACCACAGTTCAATTCCCAGCCCCCACACAGCAGCTCACAGCTGTTTGTATTTCCAGTCCCAGGGGAATCCAGTGCCCTCTTCTGGCCGCCACTGTGCACTGCACACATGTGGTGCACAGACATCCACGCAGGCAAAACACATGAAAATAACAAATAAATATTAAAAAACTTCTAGCCGGCACCTCCCCATCCTTTGTCCAGAAGGAGTGGGGAGTATGCGGACAAACGGCTGTGCATATGAAGACCAAGTGTGCCCGTAAGAAAGCGTCTGCTTGGAGTGATGCCGAAGTGTGCCCCGGTGTGATTCTCCCATTCTTCCCGACCCTTCTCTGAGGCAAGAAAAGCTGCCAGGTGATGCCTGAGCACAAAATCAAGGAGTTAAATTAAGACTACCTTTCTGTGAAGTCCTGAGCTCATCATTGGCAAATTTCTGAAGTATGTGGCCAGCTCTCTGTGCCGCGGCATCTGAGGGAGCAGGCCGGAGGACCAGACACCAAACATGCATCCCAAAGTGAATGAGGACTCCACCCTGTCGACTGGTCCTGTGATTTGGAATCCACTTTTTACTAGCTTCCCGTTCCTCTGGCCTTTCTCTTTCCCCTTCCATTCTGACACTGATAGTGTCTGTCATATAAATGCCTCTGGTTGTGTTTTTCTTTTCTAGGAAAAAGATTAAATGACAAAACAAAAACCAGAAACTACCAAAAAAAAAAAGTTCTAGCCGGGAGGTAGTGGCACACGCCTTTATCCCAGCACTTGGGAGGCAGGTGGATCTCAGTGGGTTCGAGGCCAGCCTGGTCTACCAAGCAAGTTCCAGGACTGTTACACAGAGAACCCCTGTCTTGAAAAGCCAAAAAGAAAGAAAAAGAAAAGTTCTAAAAGAAACACTGGTGGCTGTGATGAGGAGAGACAGGAAGGGACAGGTGCATGCGCCAGGGCGTCAAGAGAGCAGGTTGAGGACAGGGGGGAGATTGCGAGATTCTGTGTGTATTCTCATGCATCTACGATGGATTGAATGTGGACTAGAGGGAGAGAAGAATCAAAGTTGAGGTCGGGGCTGGGGCTGTAGGTTAGTGGTAGAGCATTTGCTTAGCATCACGAGGTTCTTTCCCTCATCCTCGGTGCCACCTGTCTGTCTCCTCCAAAGAAAAAATCGGACTCCTGGTACATTCGATTTGAGCCACGAAAGGTTGTCATTTGCTGAGATGTAAAAACTGAGAGAGTAGTGGGGAAGTCAAAATAGTAGGCATTTGGACTCAGGGTCCTGAAGTCTCCCAAGGGAGATGGCAAGGAGGCTGCAGGAAACAAAGCTGGAGTCTGACAGGCCCCAGGGTTCACCCTGGGAGCCAGGAGACTGATGAGTGGCCGGGGTGGGAAGGATCCGGGTGCCTCCTGAGCGAAGCATGTTTCTGCAGGGCTCAGCGTGAACAAGAGCACAGAGTGCTAGAGCAGAGGCAGGGGGCTGGCAGGATGGCGAGAGGAAAGGGGCAGGCAAGAGCAATGGCCGCTCTGGCTGCTGGTCCACAGCTGGTGTCTCATTTGATTCCCACTTTCCCAGCTGAGGGACTGTGCTCAGAGGAGCTCGGTGGCTGGTGGTGAGGTAACAGCAGGCCAGAGCACTCACAGGACTCCCCTTGCCCCTGTCCCTTCCCACTCACAGGCATTAGCCAAATGTCCTTCATGTGCCAGCTATTCTACCAGCCCCTGGGGAGATGATCTGACATGGCTTCTCAGTTTACAGTCTGCTAGGGAAACATCCCGGTCTCAGAGCTCAGTGTTTCCCCGCTGTGGGGCAGATGAGGTGGCTGTCCACCTGAGAAGTCCTGTCACAAATACAAAGGTTGGCCGCCTCCAGCTGTGGGCCTTCAGCTAGCTGGACCTGAGGTTTCCAGCCAGGGATAGATTGCCTTGCTGGCCACAGGCAGTCCTGATGCAGGAGAGCCCATGGAGCCGACCACAGGGCTGTGTTTGGCTATGGAGCTTCCTGCCCTTCTATGGTCTTGCCTGACAGACTTGTTTTATGCCTGAAGCCTTCCTCTGCCAGCTCCTACTTGGGTCCCCCTGTTATTCATGGGGTACCTTCAGCAAAGCCCCTTGCCTCAGCTTCCTGGGAGATCCATCCAATAGTAGAGTCTCAGGCTTCATGACTCCTCCCTCCTGAGCTACTCCCCTGTTGCAGCCTGAGTCTTCCCACATGAAGAGCTTTAGTGCAACCAATGCTTTGGATGCAAGTGGTGGTTAAGGCTCTCTTCCCAGACAGCCCCCGGTAGGAGCATGGATTTCAGTGGGGGCACTCCTGGGTCCCCTGCAGGGTTTCTTGGAGAAAGCAAGGACATGCATTTTAAAATATGCTGAAAGAGAAAGTGGCGTGAGCCCAGATCAGGCTAAGGAAGTACCGTGCTATGCGATAAGTAGTCTGGAGGCCATGTGAGGGGCAATGGCTGAGGTAGGTGGGAGGAGCATGGAAGCCACCTCAGCCAGCTGCCCCCGGAACGTCGCTGTTTGTACAGAGTTATTGAGTGAGCAGGACTCTTCTAGGTATATATATGTTGGCGAAGACCTTCTAGAATTCAAAGTGGCCTCGGCCAAGATGGGACTTGAGACCGGGAAAAAGGTGAATGACTAACTATGATCTGTATGTCTTTTACAGAAAGGAAGGCAGAGGAAGCCACGGCCACTAGACCCTGGCGAGGGCTCTAAGGACACAGATAGCTCTGCAGGGCGTAGGAGCAGTGCCGGTAAAAGGCATGGGCGCTGGCGGGGCCGTGCTGGTGCTGAGAGCCCAGGCATGCCTGTGGCCAAGGTGGTGCGGGCAGTAACCAGCCGCCAAAGAGCTAGCCGTCGGGTCCCGCCACCCCCACCTCCAGAGGCACCCGGCCGCCAGAACCTGAGTGGAGCAGCAGCTGGGGAGGCACTGATGGGGGCTGCTGGCTTCCCACCACATGGAGACACAGGGAGTGTGGAGGGGGCCCCCCAGCCTACGGACAACAGCTTCACTCCTAAGTGCGAGATTGTGGGCAAGGATGCACTGTCAGCACTGGCCCGGGCCAGCACCAAGCAGTGCCAACAGGAGATCGCCAACGTAGTGTGCCTGCACCAAGCTGGGAGCCTCATGCCCAAGACTGTGCCCCGGCACTGCCAGCTGGCTGGTGAGGGACTGGGGTACTCTGGTCCTTCCCAGGAACTGACGGGAGGTGATGTGGCCCAGATCTTCTTGCTCATTCCCCAGATGGCCCTCCTTGTCTAAAGTCGTGTTAAATGTACAGTTGGCAGAGGGGGAGCTGGGACCAGGGAGCTTCTCCTATTGGGAGGCAGGCAGGTAACCTTTCCCCCATCTCACCAATGTCCCTGTCTGCTCCACTCAGGCAAGATGAGCCCTGGCATCCAGTGGGAAGAGACTCGGGCCCAGCAGCCTGTTGGTGGCCCTCCAGTCCGCATTGCCTACATGCTGGTGGTTCATGGCCGTGCCATCCGCCAGCTCAAGCGTCTTCTCAAGGCTGTCTACCATGAGCAGCACTTCTTTTATATCCACGTGGATAAGGTACTGTGGGTCAGGGAGACCCAGAGGATCTGGGTGAATGGAGCAGAGACTCTGGAGGTTGTAGACAGGTCGTCTAGGGAAAGGTTGGCTCAGATAACTAGAGGAAGGCAAGTTGAGGTCCACACTGGTCGAGTCTAAGATGGCATGGGCTATTAGGAACTGTAGTCCTGACACTTGCTCTCTCCCGGGCTCTGCTCCCAGGTGGGTGGGGGCTCCAGCCTTGGTGCCCAGCTCCATCTCCTGACCATCCATCCCTTTCTTCCTCAGCGGTCCAACTACCTGTACCGGGAGGTGGTGGAGCTGGCCCAGCACTATGATAATGTGCGGGTGACTCCTTGGCGCATGGTCACCATCTGGGGCGGGGCCAGCCTTCTGAGGATGTACCTGCGGAGCATGAAGGACCTGCTGGAAATCCCTGGCTGGGCCTGGGACTTCTTCATCAACCTGAGTGCCACCGACTATCCAACCAGGTGTGAGGGTGGGCTTGAGTGGGGCCCCAGCGGTGGCATCAGGGTTACAGGGTCCGTCTTGTTTGCTTGCCATCGAATTTTGAGATCCCCACAACCCAGACCTGGTCCCTTGACCCCAGGCAAGAACTGGGGTGTGGGGCTAATGAAAGGTGGCCTAACGATCGGGGATAATAAGAAATGGGGAGAAAGAGCCAGAGGCTTGGACCCGGAGTGCCAGCTCAGATAGCAAAGGTGGAGGAGAGATGGCATCTTCTTTGGGTTCCTCAGGTACCATCACCCCAGACAAGGGGCAGGCACGTGATGTAATAGCTCCTGTGAGAAAGGAAGGAAAGAGGTAAAGGTCATTCGGGCTAGAGGCATCTGTTCTGGGACAGGGACTAAGCCCCGGCTGCACCAATCCCTTCCCTCACCAGGACAAATGAGGAGCTGGTGGCATTCTTATCCAAGAACCGGGACAAGAATTTCCTCAAGTCACATGGGCGAGACAATTCCAGGTGAGACAGGTAGTGGGGAAGGAGGCCCTGATGTCTTGTACAGTGGCCTCCCACCCAAAGGTACCTGATGGCCCCAGCCCTGGCTTGTAAAGCCTGTTACCCAGTCATAGCTGAAGGCATGCTGGTTGCCAGGTAGAAAGAGGGTTCAGGCTCCATTCTGTGGGACCTCCCTCAGGTTCATCAAGAAGCAAGGCCTGGACCGGCTTTTCCATGAGTGTGATTCCCACATGTGGCGCCTGGGTGAACGGCAGATCCCAGCAGGCATCGTGGTGGATGGCGGCTCTGACTGGTTTGTGCTGACACGCAGCTTTGTGGAATATGTGGTGTACACAGACGATCCCCTTGTGGCCCAGCTTCGCCAGTTCTATACCTACACATTGCTTCCCGCCGAGGTGGGTGACCAAGTGGGTGCCAAAGCCAGGGAGGGCACTGGTTGAATGGCCCGTGGTTCACCCGTCCCCCTCTCCTGCCACCTGCAGTCCTTCTTCCACACAGTGCTGGAGAATAGCCCGGCCTGTGAGAGCCTTGTGGACAACAACTTGCGTGTCACCAACTGGAACCGTAAGCTGGGCTGCAAATGCCAGTACAAGCATATCGTGGACTGGTGTGGCTGCTCTCCCAACGACTTCAAGCCGCAAGACTTCCTGCGGCTTCAGGTATGCTCCCTCGGCCCGAGAAGCCTGCGACCCAGCTTTTTCCCCACAAGTGTTCTGGGTCAGAAGGGCAGGGTGGGTTTCCACCTGGAGCAGCTAGCTCCTTGGAGCTGGGCCGCAGCAGCAGGTGGGAAAGTCAGAGACCGAACTAGAAAGGGCCGAGGGGGCAGCCCCTGCTCCCTGCTATGTTCTGGGGCCCGCAGAGCCCTTCATCTTCTTTGTCTCTTCCTCCCCAGCAAGTCTCCAGACCCACCTTCTTTGCCCGGAAGTTTGAGTCAACTGTGAATCAGGAAGTCCTAGAAATTTTGGACTTCCACCTGTATGGCAGCTACCCACCCAGCACCCCAGCCCTCAAGGCCTACTGGGAGAGCACCTATGACATGGCTGATGGCCCTGGTGGACTCAGCGATGTCTTACTCACCGCTTACACAGCCTTTGCCCGTCTCAGTCTGCGTCATGCTGCCACTGCTGTACCCCCACAGGCCACTGCACTCTGCAGGTAAGATCCCCCCCTTGCACTTCTGACATACAGCAGGCCCTTAGAGGATGGTGCCTTAAGGGGGGACGGGCACAAATCAGAGACAGCCCCTGTCCAGAGTAAGCCCCGGCAGGGAAAAAAAAAAATTTTTAAGCTGGGTAAAGAAGAACTAGGACCATATGGGGTATGAGATTTGGAACCAAAGAAATGCCTGGGGGCCAGGGCTCCCCAGTGTCCCTCCCTGGGACTCAAGGTGGTATCAGGTGTGCTGATGGCATCTCCCTTTCTCCCTGCTGAAACCTTCCTAGGTTTGAGCCCAGGGGGTTGCCGTCCAGCGTGCACCTGTATTTCTATGACGACCATTTCCAGGGCTACCTGGTGACGCAGGCGGTGCAGCCCTCAGCCCAGGGGCCAGCAGAGACGCTTGAGATGTGGCTGATGCCCCAGGGGTCGCTGAAACTGTTGGGGCGCAGTGACCAGGCCAGCCGGCTTCAGAGTCTGGAGGTGGGACAGGTCCTCTCCCTTGCTTTCTCCTGACCCCCAGCAAGACGCAGGGAGTGGGAAGAGAGGGACAGACACCAAGGGAGGGGTAAGGACTCCATCAGACCTTTATGGGCTGGGCTCTCTGGGCTCTGCTTTCCCGAACACGGCAACCTTGGGGATGCCGGCACAGATAGACCTATGCCATCCTCACAGGCATACACTGAGGGGTCCTCTCAGATGACACAGGGAATAGGGACGGAACTGTCAGTTCTTACTGCCCAAAGTGCTAGGATTCCCGGGGCTTGGACAGTCCAGATGAGCTTTGGGTGTCCTTTCCTACAGGTTCTGGCTTTGTGGGGGGTGGTCTGCCTTTATGGGCCCCACCAAATAAGGGTTCAGGTGGCAGCCTGGAATAAACCTCAGAGCTGGGGAGAGGTTTCAGTTGTAGACTCGCCCCTTCAGTTTGAAGATAGGGAACCTGGAAGCGGTAGTGACTGACCTGGGGTCACACCAGAAGAGGCGGCATGAGAGCAGATAGAAGAAGAACTTCTCCTAGGCTTCTGCCCAGCTGCCTCCCTCCCTGCAGGTTGGCACTGAGTGGGACCCCAAAGAACGTCTTTTCCGGAATTTTGGGGGCCTGCTGGGACCCCTGGATGAGCCTGTAGCCATGCAACGCTGGGCCCGGGGCCCCAACCTCACAGCCACTGTGGTCTGGATTGACCCCACCTATGTCGTGGCCACGTCATATGACATCACGGTAGATGCGGACACTGAGGTCACGCAGTACAAGCCTCCACTGAGCCGGCCGCTGCGGCCAGGAGCCTGGACTGTTCGCTTGCTTCAGTTCTGGGAACCCCTGGGTGAGACCCGCTTCCTTGTGCTGCCGTTGACCTTCAACCGCAAACTACCTCTCAGGAAAGGTGAGGATAGTGCCCAGATGATGCCCAGATCCCAGGTAGACCAGGGTTTCCCAGGGTGCTGGTCCCGTGGCTGAGTGGTAGAGGGGGAAGGCAGGGCTGTGGTCTTCCAGCCCTGTATTGTGGTTGTGGGGGAAGGGAAGAGAGAGTCAGGTTGACTGCAATTGGAAATGTGGCTCTGCCCTTACAGCTGGGCCCTGGGCTTCGGAAATGACTCACTCAGCCTTTTCATTGGTCCAGCCATGGGACACCCCTAGGTGACTGGGACAAAGTCACTCAAGCCAGATTTAGTGCAAAAGGAAAATTATTAGAACAATGTGGGGCTTTCCTTCACAAAGCCCTGAAAATGCTTCCGCTCTCACTGAGGACTAAGGGCATCTTGTCCCACATCCTGTCCTGTCTCTGATGCTCCTCCATACATAATGCTCAGTGCCGCAGAGCCAGATTCGGGCCTTGAGACTCTCAGGTCCCACGCAGCTTGGGATGGCCAGATTCACATGGCCCCCTGGTGATTTGGCTGGGGCTAAGAAGAGGGCAGGCCACGGGCAACTGGAGCAGAGCACACTCCTGCAGGGCTTACCTTTGGAGGCGCTGGAATGAGTGCTGACTGAGAGTGGTGATGAGTGGCGTCCCCATGGGTAGCTGTTTCCTTTCCCCACTGCACCTGATCCCAAGAAGGCGAGGAAGAGCAGGAGTAACCCAAAGAGATAAGGACGAGCGCCTGGGACAGATACAGGGCAGGCAAGCCACTTCCCATTGGATGAAGGAGACAGCAGGCTGAGCAGTCAGCTCTGCAGGTAGGCCTGGGACTAAACCTCAGAGGACAAAGATCGAGCGTGTTCTAAGCCAAGGTATGAATTTGGCTCGTGTCTGCATGGGAGGATAGAGTAGAGGTGAAGAAGGTGCAGAGGGGAGTGGGAAGGAAAGCCAAGTCAAGCCAGCCCCATGTGAAGAACAGGCTACCAAGAGCTACTATGGTCAAGGAGTGCCTTGTTCAACTGAGTCTAAAGTTGGAGAGTTGGGGATTTAGCTCAGTAAAACCAGAGTTCTGACCTCAGCTTAAAAACATCCTAAAGTTAGGAATTTAGGAATGTTTACTTTTTAATTTTGCCTATTTATTTACTGAGACACTGTCTTAAAATGGATTCCAGACTGCCTGGAACTCGCTGAATAGCCCATTCTGGCTTCAAACTTGCAATTCTCCTGCCTCAGTTTCCTATCTGTTAAAGCTATAAGTGTGAGTGACCAGGCTCAGTACCACTTGGGTTTTATACGACCGATGACTTGTTTGTTAGTTTTTTGAGACCGGATTTCACTCTGTAACAGCCCTGGCTGTCCTGGAACTCGCTCTGTAGGTGAGGCTAGTCTCGAACTCAGAGATCTACCTGCCTCTGCCTCCGGAGTGCTGAGAATAAAGGTGTGCGCCACCACTCCCTGGCCACAGCTGATGATTTTATTATAGGCATAGAAAGTTCCCTAGCTCGGCCCCAGTCCACTCTGTAAGGTGAGACCCCCACGGTAAGGTTAGGATGGGAACTTGTGTGTTCAGCCCTGACTCCTATCGACTGGCCTCTGTGGACTGAAGGGCATGCCTAACTGCTTGTTCTGTACCCGCAGATGATGCCAGCTGGCTGCACGCGGGACCACCCCACAACGAATACATGGAGCAGAGTTTCCAGGGCCTAAGTGGCATCCTGAACCTGCCGCAGCCAGAGACCATGGAGGAGGCTGCCAAGAGGCGCACAGAGCTCACGGGTCCTGCACTTGAGGCCTGGACAGATGGGGAGCTGAGTAGCTTCTGGTCTGTGGCAGGATTGTGTGCCACAGGCCCCTCTGCTTGTCCCTCCCTGGAGCTCTGCAGACTGACGAGCTGGAGCTCTCTATCTCCTGACCCTAAATCAGAGCTGGGGCCTGTCAAAGCTGATGGGCGACTCAGGTAGCAGGGCCCCAGCCGGCACAACCCGGAGGAGCCGGGGAATTGCACCTTATCGACAACGGAGGGACATCTCTCCCACAGACAAGAACCAGAGGCCCAGGCAGTGTGCCCGTGTGAGCCATCAGGAACCTGCACTGAGGGCAGGGCTGGTGGGTGTAGTGCTCACTACTGCTAATGGCCCTGCAAGAGGTCAGAGGTCCACCGGAACCATGAGGGGGGCGCTTCCTCTGCCCCTCTCTAGTTTGTACTTTTTTAAAATTTAAAATGAGTGACAGGGGGAGGAAGATGTGCAATAGGGCTCAGAGCAGGCCCAGGAAGTGGGCTGTGGCCATGGGAGCACACCAAGCCCATCTACTCCTGCTCTGGAGAGGCTTTGTCTGCCTCACCCTCCAGAGCCTCCATCCCCAGCCTGGGCCGACGGGTTCCCAGCTGAGGGTCTTGAGAGGCACAGGTGTCCCATGAGGCTCCGAGGCCAGGAGCACAGGTGATTCGGGGGCTCCTGTGGAGCTGGGCTCCTGTGGGACAGCTGCTCGCTCATCTGGTAGCCAGGAGACCCTAGGGTAGGGGTGGGGCTGGCTCTCAGGCTTTCCAGCACACCCTGCCCTAGTAAATACAGGGCGTCAGAGCCTGCTGAGATCTGTGTGGTTTCCCACGTGTGTCCTGGAGGAGGGAGCCCCACTGGCAGCGCGGGAAGACTGTCAGGGCGCTCAGAAGAACTGGGAGTCGCTTTGTGCCTGAAGCTCAGTGTGAAGTCTGAAATATGCAACAGAGGAAATATATCTCTATCTCTCCACACTGAATGTCCTTGTTTGCTTTCTACTGCTATGCTAAAGACCATGACTAAAAGCATGGGGAGGGCGGGGTTTATTTCATCTTACAGCTTATAGTCCGTCCTAAAGGGAAGCCAGAGCAGAAGCTTGGAGGCAGGCTCTAAACAAAGACTATGAAGAATGCTGCTCATTGGCTCACTCCCCAGTCTCTTGGTCAGCTACCTTTCTTATACAACTTGCCCAGGGCTGGTGCTACCCACAGTGGTGGGACTCCTGACACCCATTAATGGAGGCATTTTCTCAGTTGAGGTACCTTCTTCCCAGGTGCTCCTAGCCATGTGTCATGTTGACAAACTAAACAGCACACTGAGGCTCCAATTTTTTCCTGAGTACGAGGGAGCTGTGGCTGATCACTGGGCTTTCTAGAAGTCTTAGCTGGTTCTTTGGTAGCCTTGAAATAGTAACGATCCTTATAGCGGGAACAGTTGAAAATTTCACCCAGATGGCGGATGGCTCTCCAGGGCAGCCTTCTTTCTGTGGGAAAATGGGCTCTGGGAGGCTTAAATTTCTCATTGCTGCCCAGCAGGCCAGCATTAGTGACATTTAGTTCTAAGATGTCCCCCCCCGGCAATCTACCCTGCCATTGGCCAGACTGCAGTAAATGCTGGCATCCCCCAAAGCTTCATCTTTCTTGCCACCTACTGAAGTCCCGCCTTTGTAGCCCGCTCAGTAACAGAGGTGGTTGTGGTTATGACCCACTGGATAGTTCTGTAACTTGTATCCTTATGGCCAGTGGCAGGGACTGAACCGCTACCCTAGGACCTGAGTGAATGCTGTCTAAGTTCTTCACTTGCTTTGCCTTTCTCAAGCTTTCTGCCTTCCCACCTGATTCTCCCGTCGTCGTCAGCAGGGCTCAGTATTGGTCCTTCGCGCCATACATAACACAGGAGTCAGAATGAAGACTCTGGACCTCTAGAACTCACTGCTTCGGCTGGCACACTGGGCAAAGCTCGGCTTGGCTTAGTTTGGGGAGGAAGTGGCTGATTGCTGCGCAGGCTGCAGGGATTCCCCAGTTGCCAAGAGAGGGTCCCAGGGTGGGCTGTTTGCAGATTTGGAGTCTGGCACTTCCCATCTTCAGGGAGCAAGTCAGGAAAGCAGAGCTGAGAAACGAGGAGCCCCAGGTTTAAAGCTGGCGGTGCGGCCCTCTTCAGAGAGGGCAGGGAGGCCCCCGAACCAGTCACTGCGCTCTGCTGTTCTCACAGCAGTGGCCGGCCAGCCAGGAGGTGCTAATAAGGACACACAGAGAACATGGGTGCTATCTCTGACCTCCATTTTAATGAACATTTGACACTGTATTCTAGCTCTCCAGATGGTGAAAGTGTTGTTTTGTTTGTTTTATTATTTATTATTTTGGTTTTTCAAGACAGTTTTTCTGTGTAGCCCTGGCTGTCCTGGAACTCTGTAGGCCGGGGTGGCCTCGATCTCAGATCTGCCTGCTTCTGCCTCCTGGGTGCTGGGATTAAAGGTGTGCACCACCACCACTGCCCGACATTTTGTTTTAATTTATCAGTAGCAATTCTTAGGACAGGAACAAAAAGAATTACCAGCTGGATTCAGCAGATGAGGCACTGGCAGTAAATCAAGCTGTCAAGGTGGATTGCATACGAGAGCCCACAGCCAGGCCCGGCTAACCAGCCTACAGCAGAACGGTCCTCAGAGCATTGTCTTGTTTTTTAGTGTGTGAACGTATGTGCTGGGGATGTGCACGCATGCATAGGCCCGAGGACAATGTTTGGTATCCCACTCTACTAGGTTCTGCCTTATCCTTTTGGGACAAACTCTCTTACTGAACCTGGGTCTTGAAGTTTTTTCAGCGGGCTAGCCTGCAAGCCTTGGGGATCCTTCTGTCTCTAGCTCCCAGCACTGGGGTTACAGGTACACAAAGCTGCTCCTGGCTTTTGTGCATAGGTGCTGACCAGAGGACTCTGTCTTCCGGCCTACCAGGAGCAACTGTTCCTTAGGAAAGGCGCCTTTGCGATCCCTGGAGCCTCTATCCTCCAGCCCAGGTTCCCTCCAGCTCAGAGCAGCCGAAGTGTACAACATCCTGAGATCAGGCCCCTCCCTCGCCATTGGTAAACAGACTGCAGACAACCCTCAGAGAAGACAAAGGCCTCTCTCTTCCTAGCTCCCTAAGGACCCAGCTCTGAGGAGATAGAGCAGGTTTCTGTAGGCAGGATGGGGCAACTCCAGCACTGCCAGGCCTCTCCCTAGGGACGGCACTATACAGCAGCTACATAGAAAGCAAAACAAATCTGAGCTGTGGCCCTAGGCTCTGAACTTCCAACTCTGGGCTCAGACCCATGATGGAGGGCTGAGAGCAGAAAATGCTGTTCAGACTGACCTTCCAAAGGCCATCCGAGCTGACGGAGAGGGACAGAATGAACTAGCTGTTGGCCAGAAAGGAGTGAACTCTTCCTCCCGAGTGCTTCCTAGACACACTGGGGGCCAGGACTTAGCAGAAGAAACAGGAATGACCAGATGGATAATAGGATAAAGTGTCAGGACTCTGCTCTCTGGTGTCCCCAGAGAGAAACTCTGTATGAGACTGCCCAGGGGCCCATCAGTAAATCCTGCAGTCAGCCTGTGTGTCCGACTGTTTGACAAAATGACCAGGGAAGATTTCACTAGCAGACTGCATAGTCCTTTAGGCCCTGACTGTTTAGCCCTCTAAGCTTTGGGTGCCTGAAGAACTCAGCTTTCCCCACATTACTCTTACATAGTGTCTACTCAGTCTGGACAGTGTCCTGGCCCACTGGGCAGGACAAGATAAAGGCTACCAAACCCCCAGGGTACTTAAAAGCCCTACTTTTCCTCTGTGGACAGACCCCAGGCCAAGAAGGCATGAAAGGGACGGGCAATGTGTGACACTGAAACAGCCATGTAAAAGGTATGTACAGGGGGAAGACAGAGATGGCCAAACCTTTGTCCTCGAATTCTTTCAACTGCCACCAAGCTATGAGAGGCCTCAAGGTCATTGCCTGCACTCCCACCCCAACACGGCTTGCTTACCCCTCAGGAAGTAGTCACCTACCAAAGGCCTTTTGTCTCTTCAGGGGCCTGGAAAGAACAGTCTTGGCTCTCTTGAGATAGGCCTAACTGGCCTCTCATGCATACTCCGTTAGCCCAGCTGACTTCAGTACCTTCAACGCTACACACAGGATGCCAAAATGAATCCCTACAGACTCCAGGCCACCTTTGCCAAGGATTTGGAGGATGTAGGGAATCTATATCATTTCCTGAAAGTACTAGGTAACAAGTTCAAAGTAGAACCCCTAAACAAGAAGGTGACTGTATGCCCCATCTCTGGAGAGCCTGTGTGCAGGTCATAGACTTTACACACCTTCCTCTGGGACTGCTGCCACTACCAACTGTCTCCAGCTGCCAAAGTGGCCATCTTACCTGCTGTGATTTCCTTCTGGTCCCTCTACTAGAGGCCAGACCTCTGAGGTTTGGGCTGGGTCGACAGAAGAGACCTGCCTAGGCTTTCACTGAGTATCCCAAAACCAAACTCTTTGCTGCTGTTTCTAGTTTGAAATACATCAAGAACCAGAAGATAATGTGGTCACTGTGTTTGGTGGGCTCGAAGAAGCTGTGTGCCACCTACCCTGCCTCACCATTGAAAGGCTCCTCATACCTCAGGGTGGGAGGGGCATGCCTGGGCCTACGGTCCATCCCACAAGCTCCTGCTCTGGACTTGCAGAGGCAGGGAATGTGAAGAGCTACAGTAGTCTCTGGGCTATAGCTGGCTCCCTCTACTGTAGCAGCAGGTGAACCACATGGCTAGTTGCTTTCTCTACTCCCCACCCCCAGGGTGGACCTTTAAGGGACCCAAGGAGGAAGCAGCAGCGACACTCCAGAACAGTGGTTCCCAACCGTCCCAATGCTTCAGTCCTTTAATACAGTTCCTTGTGTTGTGGTGACCTCCAATTATCATATTTTCCTTGCTACGTTATAGCTGTAACTTTGTTATTGTTATGAATCACAATGTAAATATATGCTGTGCAGGAGGGTCTCAGGCGACCCCTGTGAAAGAGTTGTTCAATCCCCAAAGGGGTCAGGACCCCCAGGTTGAGAACTACTGCTCTAGTATCCTCCTCACTCCCTCTAAGCAATGGTGCTAATGAAATCTTAAAGCCAGCTCCCTTCCTCAGCTCCTTGCTGATAGGTCTCTTCTTTCTTTTCCTACAGTGGGCACAAACAAAATGGGTAGGAACTAGAGCAGTAAGCAGCCCCATCTGGACTTGTCCCCAAATGGCACAGATGCAGGGCTCCAGCGAGCTTTATTGATGCTCACGTCAGCGCTACCAAAGGGTCTCCAGCAGTCACCATCCAAGGCCTCTTCTCTGGGGACCATGTCCTCAATCTGGCCCTTGACTCCCTGTATCACGTTCCTGTGACCTGGCTCCAGTCCCCACCCAGTGGTCTCAAAGGGACTTCAAAGCATGGCTACCAGTTTGAAGGTCCCCTCAGGTTTGGCAGGAACCACGTGGACAAAAGTCTTGTAGAGCACAGCTCCCCTGGGCAGACTGGTGACCAGATCCACAGCTTCCGAGTTGTTGGGATTGGGCACGTAGACGTCTTTGGTGTAGCGGACTATCCCCTCCTCCAGGGCATAGAGGCACTTGTTCCTCCCAAGTCCCACCTGCAACACACAGAGCTGGTCAGCTGGAGAAAGACAGGCGGTCACCCCAGGGATTAGGCCAGACTTCCCCTTCAGAGCGCAGTCTGGAGCAGAAGGGCAGGCTCTGAGAGGCCACTCTCAGGCTTCCCTTTCCCACTGCTTGGCACTTCTTTGCCTCTGCTCCTTCACCAACTCCATAAGAGAGGAGGGAACAGAAAACAGCCCCCGACACTGGTAACAGCAGTAATGTCCACACAGCTTGTCAGAAGCCACAGCGGGGAGATCCCCAAGCCAGGCCCACAAAGACACCACCAATCACTGCCTCTGACAGCATGCTTTGTTTACACTTAGAAAGTTCAGATTCCATGGAGAATAGAGATCAAGATTGCATGGGTACTCGAGATGCTAATAAGATAATGACATCAGCTAATACACACCAAGCTTCCACAGTGAGTGCTTACAGTTAAGTCCCGAGGTTAAAAACCTTTTTACACCATTATATCAGAACTCATTTCTTACCTAGTGCATTAGATACTTCCAACCCCTTTTCCAGATACTACAAAGTTAAGTGTTTTCATAAATAGCATATTTAGTATAGATTTTTGCATTTTTAAAGATTTGTTTATGTTTACAGTATTCCTCCTGCATGTTTGCCTGCAGGCCAGAAGAGGGCACAAGAGTTCATTATGGATGGTTGTGAGCCAACATGTGCTTGCTGGGAATTGAACTCAAAACCTCTGGAAGGGCAGTCAGTGCTCTGAGCCACCTCACCAGCTCCTGAATACAGATTTTTAAAACTGCCTATACTTGTTTTCTTTCACAACTTGAAATTCAATGTATAGTAAAAGCCGAGGGGCTGGAGAGATGACTCAAGGGCTAGAAGCACTTGCTGTTCTTCCCGAGGACCTGAGTGGAGTCCCCAGGGGATCCAACACTCTTGTCTGGCTCCTAGGATATCCACACATACAGACACAGATAGTTAGCTAGCTAGATGGCTAGAGAGACAGACAGACAGACAGACATATTTTTTAAGAAAAGAGGAAGAAAGGCATGGTGGTGCATGCCTGCAATGTTTGCCAGGACTTAGGAGGGGATCACTGCAATCTTAAGACCAGCTTGGGATCCATGGAAAGTTCCAGACCTAGAGGAACATAGCAAGGAGACCTTGTTTCAAAAACAAACAACAGAACACAGATGTGTGGCAAGTCTTACCCACCCAGCCTAGTACTATGTGGTGCCTCTCTCTGACTGAAAACACAAGTCCACAAGCCACAAGAGGTGGCACACAGCTGTAAACCAATACTCAGGTGGCTGTGGCAGGAGAATGGAGAATTCAAGGCCAGCTTGGGCAATATAATGAAACCCTTTCTAACCAAACAAACAACAAAATAATAATAAAAACAAAACAACAATAATAGGGGCTGGAGAGATGGCTCAGAGGTTAAGAGCTGTTGGGAGCCACCTGGAGGCACAGGTGGTCCTGCAGTTTGGAGGTATACCTGGCTTGGCCGCATGGGGCTGAGCACCCTTGTCTGCACCCTTGCTTGCACATGCTCAGACCAGCAGAATGGCATTAACCAATCAGGACAGCGTTCAAGCCTCTCCACCGTTTAAAGCAGCTGCCTCTGGACTCTACTTCCTCTCTCTAAGCTTTCTCTTGTCCCTGCTCTATCTTCCCTTCCCCCAATTTTCCTCAACGGAATGCTCCAAATAAAGACGTGACCAGGGAAGAAATTCTCGTTTTTAGTGGCGTTCGTTCCTGCTGGTCAGGATGCGCGCCGCAACTGGTGCTCGAAACCCCAGGACGCCGAGGGACCCTGACAACTACGCCGGGGGACCCTGAGAAGGAAGCGCCCAGCAACGTGCTGAAAGCCCGGGAGAAAAAGCCGAGATCAGACACCAGGACACAGCCTCCAGGTGGCTCCCAACAAAGAGCATTGCCTGCTCTTCCAAAGGTCCTGAGTTCAATTCCCAGCAACCACATGGTGGCTCACAACCATCTGTAATGAGGTCTTGTGCCCTCTTCTGGCCTCCAGGCATACACACAGAAAGAATATTGTATACATAATAAATAAATAAACAAACATTTATTTATAAAAAAACAATAATAATATGGTTCAAATCCTAGCTCTGCTAAATACCACATGATCTTGGCAAGTTACTTTTCTATGTCTGCAAAACATGGATAAACTCCCTACTATGTTCATAAGGTCATCTTAAGGATGGAATGAATGGACCATGAAAAACTTGCAGCATATTTAGCTCAAACACATCCACTTCTACTGTTATTATTCACATCCAAAACCTTTCTCTGGGAGGGAGTTGAGAGTACGGGTTGCTGATAGGGTCTCATTCCGTAGTTCTGGCTGGCCTCGAACTCAGAGATCTGCCTGCCTTTGACTTGAGTCCTGGGTTGAAGACATACACCATCATGCTGGACTTGATGTTTAAAATTTTTATTTTATGTATGTGAGTGTTTTGCTTATATGTATATCTGTGTACCACTTGCATGCCTGCTACCACCGAGGACAGAGAGGGTGTCAGATCCCCTAGAACTGGAGTTACAGATGTTTGTGACTCACCGTGTGGGTGCTGGGAACTGAACCCAGGTGCTCTTAAAGCTGAGCCATCTCCCAGCCCCTTTGATGTTGTTTTTAACTGAAGGAAAGTATTTATTGAATCTAATTCTAGTAGAATAAAAATATTTCTTCCTTTTGAGTCATGAGAAGGGAAATGTTTTAAAATTACAAATTGATAAGAACACTGAAAAGCAAATGCATCAGTAAGAAGTCTGTCACTTTCAAAAGATAACTGTATTTTACGCATATTGTTTCTAGGTCCTCAGGCAGCTGCAAATGCCCCATATATTACATTATATAACCCACTTCCATTTTCTATGGAAAAGAAAAATGAGGCCCAGATCTAATGCTATGATCTAATGTTAGGCAAATTTCAGCTTAAATAGAGTTCCGCCACTCTCTGAGCCTCTGGCATTTCAGCCATAAACTAGAGATGACATCCACCTCATCGGGATGGGCCCAGGACAGATGAACATGAAAGGCTGCCTAGGAAAGAAAAGGAGGAAGAGCGAGAGCAACTCACATGGGCGCCTGGGTGCCATCGAAACTGACGCTGAGTGCCAAGGATGTTACCAGCATGAACATAGTGACCTAAAAGAAAAGTCCACAGTTGAGCTGACTCAGCACCAGTGATCCCAGAAGCACAGCAAAATGCTGCAAAATCAAGGGCTATCACTAACCCCCCAAGCCTGCTCCTGCAAAATCCTCCAAGATGATCCTACATAAATAGCAAAACACACACACACACACCACCCAGCAGCCTCTTTTTGGTTGCATGGCTAAGAAACCAGAACTCAATGGGGCCCCGTACCCCTCCCTAGATCTCATCTGCCCCTTCGATGTGGAGCCCATGCAATGGTGAACTGTGAGGGTACAGGCGAGGCACTGCACGGCAGTTCCGCTCTTCTAAGAAAGCGCAGGACAGCATCCATGGGTCGCAGCTGGAAAACAGAAACGAAGGCACACCCTCACCTTCTATTTTCTTGATGCCATAGTGTTTGCCTCGTGACTTCCCACCCAGGTTCTTGGAGCTGCCACCTGTCTTCTTGGACGCATATCTGACTGCCAGAGCGGTAGCTGTCTTGGGGCTGAAAAGGGCTGTAAATGCAGAGCAAACAGAAGCACTGCTGTGAGGGGGCTCCAAACAGGATGCGCTTTCTTTGTCTCTGTGGATCATTTGCTAAGCTGAGGAGCAGTAAGGGAGATGAGAGAGATGAAAGATGAACGAAGGGAGCAGGAATGAGCTAAGGTCAGTGTATGGTGTTCAGAGAATGCCGGGCAGAGAGCAATTCATGCCTGGAATAGGTAAGCGTGGCGTGTGTGTGTGTGTGTGTGTGTGTGTGTGTGTGTGTGTGTGCACGCGCGCGAGTAAGAGCAAGCAATGAGCATAAGCGGAGGAAGAAATAAACATTGTGTGCTCTGGCTCCCGACACATTCAGTCCTGTTGGACATAGAAACAGAAGTGGAGACCAGAGAGCAGCCTGCTTCAAAATTCAATCTCAGCTGGGCGGTGGCGGCACATGACTTTAAACCCAGCACTGGGGAGGCAGAGGCAGGTGGATCTCTGTGAGCTCGAGGCCAGCCTATTCTACAAAGGGAGTTTCAGGACAGCCAGGACTGTTTCATAGAGAAACCCTGTTTTAGAAAAACAAAACAAAACAAAATTCAGTCTCATGCCCTAGGGAAGGGCCAGATAACGGGGCAGGCAAAGCGGCTTCTGCTTCAGCGCCACTGACCACTTTCTTGGCTAGCCACTCACCCACTGAGCACTTGTCAACTGTACAACAGGACAGCAGCCTGCCAGGGCCTCTGACAGGAGGCGGGCCATTTCAGAAAGATCAGATGTTCAACCTAGATCAGCACTAATCCGAACTCTCCCCTTATCCCAACGTGCTCAACAACGTTTATTTTAAAAGGAAAATGACATGAGAGGAGTTGGAAGGGGTAGATATGGTCAAAATACATTATACAAATGAATAAAATTCTCAAAGAATAAAAACACTTCTAAAAGAACATTATCTAAAATGCGTACAAATGGGGCTGGAGAGGTGGCTCAGAGGCTAACAGCACTGACTGCTCTTGCAGAGGACCTCAGTTCAATTCACTCATGCAGTGGCTCACAACCATCGGTAACTCCAGTTCCAGGGAATCCGATGGCTTTTTCTGACCTCTGTGGGTACCAGGCGCACAGCATGGTGCACATACATCACACAGGCAAAACACACACATAAACTGCAAGCTATCATGGGCAGCTGGCAGTCTGTTTTTAGCTCAGTCAGTATCTGTAGAGAAGCTTTATGGGGGTTTGAAGTATAAACTCATAGTGCCAGTTACCCAGGTTTCTCAAATTCTCATGAAAACACAAGAAACTCACTGGGATACAGGGCTAGAGATAATAACTTAAAGACCAGGCTGGGCATAATGGCACATGAACGCCTTTGATCCCAGCACTAAGAAGGCAGAGGGAGGCTGATCTCTGTGAGTTCAAGGCAGTCTGGTCTATAGAGTGAGTTTCAGTAGGACAGTCTGGGCTACATAGTGAGACCCTACCTCAAAAAACAAAACAATGCCGGGCGGTGGTGGCACATGCCTTTAATCCCAGCACTTGGGAGGCAGAGGTAGGTGGATCTCTGTGAGTTTGAGGCCAAGCCTGGTCTACAAGAGCTAGTTCCAGGACAGGTAGGGCTGTTATACAAAGAAACTCTGTCTCAAAAAACCAATTAATATATATATATAACAACAAAACAAAATAAAGAAAAAAAGAACTTACAGAGACATGTTCAATGTCCACCATTGGAATCTTTCTAATTTTAAACATCTATGTTTATTTTTTCTCTCTGTAGCCCAGGCAGGCCTTGAACTTGCAATCCCCAGGCCTCATCCTCACACAAAAACTACAGTTATAGGCACACACTACCTGGCTTTAGTCACTGACTTAATGGGTGACTGACGTTTTGCTCATCTACATTGCTTCATCATTAATCTTTGCTCTTGTGAGAAACAAGGAGAACCTGCGGGTTACTACTTTTCCCGCATTTCACAGACCAGTAAGATTTGTGGAGTCCATCTTCAGAACAGATGCTATATTCATCCACGTTCCTCCAAGTTCACGACCAGCACCACTAATATCCTGGCCAAATTATCTTATAGCAAGGATACTAGTCCAGTTTTCCATGGTTTGCCGTGATGGCTATTTTATTTATTTGTAGTTTTTGAGACTGCAACCCGGGCTGGCCTTGGACCTGAGACAATCCTTCTGCCTCAGGCTCCTAAGTGTAGGTATTACAAACACTATCATTTCTGGCCCCACCTGATTTCCTTTTCATTCCTGTTTATTTATTTGCATCTAGCCCGTCCCCTCTTAACTTGCTATTCAAAATATAAAACTGGATCGAGCCACTGTCTTGCTTTCTTTCCGCAGATGGTTAGGTCTCCCTTTCAGGTCTTCAGAAGAGTTTCTTGAAGACCTAATCTAGGACTCTCCACTGCGCTCATCACAAGTACAGCTAAGTTATTTACGTGTTTACTGTCGTACCTACTGAACTCACGGGGGTTGTAGTTAATCTTTATGCTGATACTTTCCACAGCGTCTCTCTCACCAGACCTGAGCATGAGCCATGGTCATATACACCTGAAAACTCAGCACTAAGAAGCAACTACATTACAAAAACAAAAGCTAAGTCCTCGATGAACTTTTTTGAACTGACTCTTCTTCATAAACGAAGGAATCCACTAAACCCGGGGAGGTGGGGGAGGATGAGGTAGCTAAAGAAACGCTCTCAGCCTACTCCGGCAGCACCGCCCACCAGGAGTCACGTGACCAGAGACAGCCGACCTCCAAAGGTCGTGAGTCTCTCTCTCCTTTGGCATCCAGAGTCCACCCTGGATCTAGTTTCCATTTCCCAGCCTCCCTGCTGGCTCGCCCCACAACAACCACAGCGCTGAGATACCTTCTGCCCTCGTCCTCAGGGCAAGCACTGCAGACGCCATGTTTGCTTCGCATTCGCTTCCGGGCTGGGAAATCTGCTTCCGCTACCGGAAACTCTACTTCCGGATCCTGCGTACAATTCAAAGAGTGGCGGGAGCAGTAGCAGGTGAGCGCCGTTCTCCTGGGTTTTGTGACCAGCACCTCTGGGGGCTTCTACGATGGACCGCTGGCCTCAGAGGCGGGGACCATGTCAGGAACGGACATTCGTCCCACTGCGGGAGTCACCCGAAGCCTAGGGAGGGTCCAGGATGAGGCTCAGCCAGATTCTATGCTAAGATGGTTGGTTATAGATGCACACTTTCATTTAATTCCTTCAAACCTAAATTATTGGTATTGTGTTAAAGAAACCGAGATCCAGGAAGGAAATCTTTCAAGGATTATCCTGGGCCACACCTACAGTCACTATTTGCTGATAGAACAACTCTTGTATGTAACCCAGCAGTTCAGGCAGGCTTTAGGATACATAGCAGAAGTGTAAAAACATACTCATTTAAAATATTTGTACATGAGTGTTTGTAGCAACATTATTCATCGTAGCCAAGAAAGGGAAGCAAACTGTCCATCAAGCAATAAATGCATAAGCAAAATGTGGTCTATGTACACAGTGGAATAGTATTCAGCTATAAAAAGGAAGGCAGTACTTTCACAGAAGGACCTTGAAAGCATGAACGTGAAAGATATCAGCCACTAAAGGCACATACTGTGCCATAGATGAATATACAGAATGCAGAGACAATAGACTTTATTTTGGTTGTTAGGTACTGGGATAGGGAAAGAATGGGCAATGACTTTTTGATGGTTCTGGAATCTCTCTTTTGAGATAGTCTCACTCTGTCGTTTAGGCCGACCTTGAACTCAAATATCTTCCTGCATCTTCCTCCTGAAAGGTGGGATTGTAGTTGTGTGCCAGCATGCCCAGTTTATATAGAATTTGTTTTTGTGGTGATGAAGACATTCTGGAATTAGATGATGGTAATGGTTAAACAACACAAATATATCAAACCCCATTAATCTGTATGAGGGATTTGTTTGTTTCCCTGCTAAGTGTAATCATGGGGATTAAACCCATGCATGGCCCTATTCATACTGAGAAAGCACTCCACCACTGAACTATTACTTGAACTCCTAAAGTATATTTTAAATAATATAAACTGTTTATGTGACTTACAAATGTGAATTCTAATAAAAAGTATGTGAAATATTATTTTTTCAATGTGTGTATGTTTGTGCACACAAGCACACTCAGATATGTGCACAGGCATGCATGTGGAGGCCAAAGGACAGCCTTTAGGAGTCAATTCTCCCTCCACCATTGGGGTTCTGGGACTGAACTCGGGTTGTCAGGCTAGGTGACATTCATCATGCATCTTTGCTTGTCGTGTCATGTTATTAGCCTATGTTTTTTAAAAATTCATTTATTTTTATTTTATGTGTATGTGGAGGTCAAAAGAGGGCATCAAACCTCCTGGTGCTGAAATTACAGTGGTTGTGAGAGCTGCCCAACGTGGGTGCTGGGACCTGGACTTGTCCTCTGTAAGAGCCACATAAACTCTTAGCTGCTTTCTCTCCAGCACCAGCATGTTTTTTATTTATTATTTTCTTTTGAAAGATCTCCATGTTAGGGGCCAGTGAGATGATTCAAAGGGTAAAAGGTTCTTGCTGCCAAGGCTGATGACTTGGGTTCAACCCCCCAGGGCTCACATCGTAGAAGGACAAAACCAACTTCCTGAGAGTCCTCTGGTTGCTGCATGTGGGCTGGGGTATGCACATGCCCACACACATACATAAATGTTTTTAGAAAGTTTTTTCATGATTTCCATGTGGACTCAGGAATTATTGTGCATACGTGTAGTCCCAGCACTATGAGTGAGAGTCAGCGAGATCAGTTCACAGTCTTTCTCAGCCACATGAATTCAAGGCCAGCCTGAGCTACATCAGACACTCTCAAAAAGACAAAACAGAAAGCTATGTCAAATGCAGAGATCAGCAAGGGGCTAGCATTGTGTTTTGTTAGTATTTCCATTAAAGTGTTTTTTTTTTTCTTTTGGTTTTTCGAGACAGGTTTGTTTCTCTGTAGCTTTGGAGCCTGTCCTGGAACTAGCTCTGTAGACCAGGCTGATCTCGAACTCACAGAGATCCACCTGCCTCTGCCTCCTGAGTGCTGGGATTAAAGGCGTGTACCACCACTGCCCAGCTGCATTAAAGTTTTGTAATAGTAACTGTATTTTGATTATAACTCACCATGGCCTAGAAAGGTTTTAAAGCGGCGATCCTGTTGGCATACCAGTGTGGCCATTTTGAGTTCCAGATTAATCAATCTGTTGGAGTATGTCCTATTTCTCTGATTCTCTTAACATATTTATTTTCATAAAGCTTGGCCACATGAGCACCGCTGGTGGATCAACTTGAATGGTCTCATGTATGTTCTCATCTTTCCTTTTAGGCAATTAACTTAATAGCATGTGTTGATGGCGCTAACAAAGCCATCCCTCTCGCTGCTTTCCTCGGAGAGTGATTCTGAGGAATTGCCCACATTTGCCTTTCTGAAGAAGGAGCCATCTTCAGCTGGCAGGAATCAGCCTCAAAGGGAAAAGAATGTAGTGGTTGTCACCTCAGATTCTGAGGCCTCCTGTCCTCCCTCACCAGGCTTGGAGGATCCACCGTTTGTCCTAGATGCAGCTAAAGCTCCCACACAGGCAGGGCCCATCAGAGTGCTAAGCAGCGGAAGTGAGGATGAAGATGTGCTTATCCCCCTGGCTGAGAGGATCTCGTGTAAGTTTTTGACCCACAAGCAGCTGAACCCTGAGCGCTCTAGCTCCTCACTTAGAACTGTTTCGGATCATCAATGTGGTACAAGTGGACAGGGTGACTGGAAAAAGCAGCCATTCCCAAAGATCCCTGATGGTCCTCTCCACAATGCCTTAGAGAAGAGCCCAGCAAATGACGGGGACTCTGTCTTAGACAGCCTGGGCCATCAACTTCCAGCGTACCAGTCGGCCTGCAGTGTGTTGGCAGTAACCAATCCAGTTCCTGACATCCCTCTACCTCAGAAGAGAACCAAGCACAGTCAGAAGGTCCAGAGAAGCGGCGCTCAGGGGTGCTGGCAGCCACGACAAGCAAGCAGGAAGGAAAACACCCCAACACAGCTTGAAAAGAAAAAGAAGACAGCAGTGGTCGATTGGCTGAAAGCCCAGAGGCCAGAGGAATGCATGAAGCACATTGTGGTGGTGCTGGATCCAGGTTCTCGCAGATTCCAGCTTCCCCCCTGAGCCCAGCGGACTGTGTCCTGGACTCCCCTATGACCAGCCCTTTCTAATCTATTGCAGTGCTTTTACAGATGGAAGGTGGAGGGCAGCTCCTGGGAGCACTGCAGTCTATGGAGTGCAGCTGTGTGATTGAAGCCCAGGCCGTGCCTCGAAGTATCACTTGGAGGAGGAGGAGGACAGAGCTGGAAGAGGTATGAGCCTCCGGCTGAAGGTTCTCCTTCCCCTTCACCCACTAGCATGGCAGGATAAACTGCTGTACTGCCCCTGCTTGAGACTTGAGTGGCAAAACTGTTACTGTCCCCAAGTCTGAAGGGATGAGGTGAGGCAGTGATTAGCAGACTCCAGAAGGATGAGAGGGTCAACACTATTATAGGCAACCCTGGGAAATAAACAGGCAGAGTTCATTCTCTTTCCCTTGAGTGTGCCACTCAGGTTCCTAATTGGGAACCCAAGGGCCTGGGGATCATGTGATGTCAAGGTGGGACGGGGAAGAGAATTTGTGTGCAATCCCTAGTTCTCTAGCTGGGCTTTGGTATCAGAGTAACTGCGTTTAAATCCTCGTGGCTCGACTGCTGGACTCTGCAGGTCATCATGCATCTTTGGGCTTCAGTTGCCTGTTGTAGAGTGGAGGAGTCGGGAACATCACGTGCCCCTGTTGGAGGGTCTCAGTGAGACAATCTGCCACGAGCATCCAGTAGGCTTGCAGCACACAGTCATCCTCAATCCCGGGGTCTCTGCGTTACTTACGTTCCCACTATTCCTCCTATCTGTGAATCTACTCTGCCCTTCAAGAGTTTAGAAATGAGCCAGGTGGTGGTGGCACACACCTTTAATCCCAGCACTCTGCAGGTGGAGCTCTGTGAGTTCAAGGCCAGCCTGGTCAACAGAACGAGTTTCAGGACAGCTAGGGCTGTAACATGGAGAAACACTGTCTTGGTGGGGGGTAATTTAGAAACAAAACAAAGCCTTAAGATGTTTGTTTCCCTCTCTCTCAGTAACTTAGGACAGTCACCTACACATTTATCTTGTGTTAACAGCAAAACTGTATTCATAGCTGGGCATGGTGGTGCATGACTTTAATCCCAGCCCTTAGGAGACAAAAGCAGGTAGATCTCTAAGTATGAAACTCAGCCTCATTTATATATAGTGACCAGGCCACTATGTATTGAGACCTTGTCCCAAAACAAACAAAACTTCTTATACTGATAGAGCAGTTTATCTTGGAAGACACTCTACAGTCTCTTATGTTCCCGTTACAGCTGTCCTGAAATCTCCACATTTCACAGGGAGGGAAATGGGATCAGAAGAGTTGAACGCTCACGGCTGGAACTAGACCCCAGAGCTCCTCCACCTGCACCCTGCCTGCTGTGTTAGGAGTCTTGTTTTGGGTTCTAGGGACCATGAGAAAACTGTTCAAGTCTTGCTCCCATTCATTCCTCAGCACCTTGTTACTGTGGGATGGTTGGCCCTGAAGCCAACCTTGGGTTTGACTGAGCCCTTGGTCCAATGGAGGTTTTCTTTTTTATCTTTTTTCCCCGGTGGTGCTGGGGATGGAGCCCAGGGCTTCATGCATACTAGGCAAACACTGCCTATATACACAGCACTAATGCCCCACCCCTTTTTTCTGAGATAGGGTATCTGTATGTAGCCCTGGCTGGCCTTAAACTCAGATCCACCTGCCTCTGCCTCCCAAGTGCTGAGATTAAAGGCATTCGCCACCATGCTTGGCAATCCTTTTTTATAAAAAAAAAATGAATATTGAGACAGGGTCCCTCTGTGTAGCCCTGACTGCCCTGGAACTCTCTATGTAGACCAGGCTGGCCTTGAAGTCACAAAGATCTGCCTACCTATGCCTCTTGAGAGCTGGGGTTAAAGGTGTGCCCCACCACTCCCAGGTTTTTGTTGTTGTTGTTGTTTTAATGTGCTTTTGTATGAAGGTGTCAGATCCCCTGGAACTAGAGTTACAGATAGTTGTGAGCTGCCATGTGGGTGCTGGGAATTGAATCGAACCTGGGTCCTCTGGAAGAGCAGTCAGTGTTGTTAACCTCTGAGCCATCTCTCCAGCCCCCCACCACTCCCAACTTTAAAAATGCATTATTGTTGTGTACATGTGGAAACTTTGTGGCATCACACCACTTCTCTCCTTCCGCCTTTACATGGGTTCCAGGCATCAAACTCCAGTCCTCAGCCTTGTGTGGCAAGTACTTTTAGCCCCCGAATCATCTTGCCCATGTTCATACTCTGTCTCTGAGATGCAGTGAATAGTGCTGGACAGTTGAGGGAGGGAGGGACCAGACCACAGGTGGGTTTTCTGGCCACCACGACATCATTCAAGAAGGAAAGACTACTACACAGGGCCATTCCCCCAGAGATCCAGCTCGCCCACAGGAACCACAGCCGCTGACCTTCCCCGTGCTGTCCTCTTGGTCTTTGGCAGGATAGAGGAGACTGGGTGGAAGAGCCGACCATCCTGGTGTTGCTCCTGGCAGAGGCATTCATGTCCATGGTCTACAATGTAAAGCAGGTGTGCGGGGCAGGGGTAGAACTGAGGCATGGAATGGTGCCAGCCTCTTCCCAAGAAACCAGTGTTAATGCCCTTTCTGCCACTTTATGCAGGGAAGTACCAGCATTACTGAGAAAGGGAAGGAGACACTTCAGGGCTTTGTAACTGATGTCACAGCAAAGACAGGGAAAGCATTGTCATTGGTGATTGTGGACCAGGAGAAATGCTTCAGGTATGGATATGCCCTGTAGATACAGGCCTTAAAGGGGAGGGCATGAGTTATCAAGGGGGAGCTTGTTCACCCTGGCTGCAAGGCATTCCGCAAGATGGTGTCCCTGACAAGCCATAGGCTATGCTGGTCAATAATCTGGCAACACTTCTGCCTGGCTCAGTATCGGGCTGCTGTTCCAGGGCTCAGAATCCTCCAAGGAAAAGGAAATCAGGAATGGCAAATAAACAGGCCAAAGAGAAGCAGCAGAAGAGACAAGAGTCCAGCACAAGGCTCATGATGTCCAGGTTAGACATGGAAGAGGTAAGAAATCCTTTTGCCTGGGAGTATGGGGGATCACAGAAGAGGGCAAAGGGGGAAGGGAGGGGAGCAGAAAAAAATATGTAGCTCAATAAAAACAAACAAACAAACAAACAAAAAATCCGGTTGCCCGGGTCAGGTGAGTGCTCACTGGTTATCTAACTAGGTTTCCAACTGAGACCAAAAAAAGGCTCACTGGCACTTCTGGCTACCTTGGATTGAGTAGGAAAGAGGGGTAAGTGGAGCCAAGAGGTTCAGAGTAGTTTCAGGGAGCACTGAGAACACTTCCAACCAGTCTCTCCACTCTTCCTAGGCATTGGTGGATCTGCAGCTACATACAGAAGCCCAAGCGCAGATGGTGCAGAGCTGGAAAGAGCTGGCAGACTTTACCTGTGCATTTACAAAGGCTGTGGCTGAAGCTCCCTTCAAGTGAGTGACAGGGAGGATGCCCTCCACTCTAGGTCTTGCTTTTCCCTTGGTTCTTACAGCCAGAGAAAATAAGCCTTTCTCCCAAACTGCCACCAGCCCAGTGCCTGTTTTTAGGCAGAACCCTATCTTATGCTGGAGATCCTTGGCAAAAGCCTCATATCTAGGGGGCTGGAGAGATGGCTCAGTGGTTAAGAACACTTGCTGCTCCTGCACAGGACCCAGGCTGTTCCCAGCACCCACATGGCAGCTCACAACTGTCTGTAAGACCCTCTTCTGGCCTGTGAGGGCACCAGGCAAGTAAGTAAATACATGGAGGCAAACATTCATACACATTAAATTCCAGCCCTTTTTAAAAATATTCTCTTTAACTTAGAGGCAAGTCTATTGTATAAATTGATGCTGGATTACTCGGATTCATTCAGATCAGCAAGTTAGGTAGTCAAAACTGTAAACTCATAAGCCTCAGAGACAACCCTGTTCAGGTGCTTTATTATATTAAAGGAACGGAGAACTGAGATTGAGTTTTCTAAGCCCCCAGGAAGTAAGAACCAGAAATAGTATCCAAATTGCCCATTACTCAGTCCCCTTTGCCTACAACCCCACCTTAACATCAGGGGAAAAAAAAAAAAAACTTATTACCTTCTCTAGTGAAAAGGACTAGAATTAGGTTTGTTTGTTTGTTTATTTATTTATTTATTTTGTGGCAGGTCTCTGTAGCTTTGGAACCTGTCCTGGAACTCCCTCTGTAGACCAGGCTGGCCTCGAACTCACAGAGATCTGCCTGCCTCTGCCACCTCAGTGCTGGGATTAAAGGTGTGTGCCACCACCGCCCGGCACAGGGGTTGTTTTTTAATCTTTTTGCATGTGTATATGTGTTTGTGCACATCTATGAGATTGTGGGCAATAACCTCAGGTTCAGGTCTTACTAAAAATGTAGGAACTCCTTTGCCACTACATATGTAGGGCTAGCTGGCCTGTGATTCCAGGGATCCTGTCTCGTACCCATAACCCCCCTGTAGCTCTGGGGTTACAGACGCAGCACTTGACCCACTCAGTTAACTCCCTCGGACCCCAGATGCAATTTTTCCTTTTTATGTGTATGGGTGTTTTGCCTGTATGGGTGTGCAATGCCCAAGGAGGGTAGGGGGGGCATCAGAGTCTTTGGATTTGGAGTCAGTAATAGTGAGCTGCCATGTGAGTGCTGGGAATCAAATCTACTTTGGCAGAGCAGTCAGGGCTCTTAACTACTGAGTCACCATCTCTCTAGCCCATCCCACCCCCAACTAAATGGGAACCTGCAACCAACACTATGCTCTAGAACAAAGAGACCCAAACTGGCCTGATGTAACACTAGTCTACCTCCAGGTCACTGGAGAACTTCTCAGTCCACAGTTGAGGGGACAAATAAGTAGGAGAGGCACTCAGGTCCCCAATGGTGCTCTTGCAGGAAGCTCCGGGATCAAACCAACTTCTCCTTTTGCCTGGAAAAAGACTGGGCTGGAGGGATGAAAGTGGACCCAGCTGGTAGGGGACTTGCAGCGATCTGGAGGAGGCAGATTCAGCAGCTGAACCGAGTCAGTCTGGAAATGGCCAGCGCTATTGTGGATGCCTATCCCTCCCCACGGCTCCTGGTGCAGGTATATTGCTATGGGGGCCCTCACTCTCCAGAATTCCTAGGGGAGCTTCTATTGAGGGGCTAGGAATGTAGGTCAGCAGTGTGGGTTATCTGGTCTGAGAAAGGACATTTTCTTCTGCCTCAAACTGACCTAACTACCCTCCTATCCCCTGGCTCTTGAACCAAGGGATGGCCACGGGTGGGTGGGTAGTATGGGGTTAAAAGGTCATTTGCCACTTCCAGGCTTATCAGCGGTGTTTTTCTGAGCAAGAACGCCAGAATTTGCTGGCTGACATACAGGTACGCCGTGGAGAAGGTGTGACATCTACCTCCCGCCGTGTTGGGCCAGAACTATCCAGGCGGATCTACCTTCATATGACTACACTACAACCAGATCTCATCCTAGACAGTGTTGACTGACTCCGCAGCACAGGGTGAATTTCCCCATCCTTGACTTGACAGCAGAGAGGGCCAAAGTACCTCCTAGGTACAGTTAGGGGTGGAGTCTCCTTGTGGGAGCAGAGACGGTGATACACTGCAATCTACCTCCACCAGCACTTACTGCAAACCAGATGCCATGGACAACCAACCATCCCACGTTGCCCCGGACGACTCTCACAACACAAAGGATAAAGGCAGACCACTCAGACATGGATTTAATAATTGTAGAAATCCAAAGAGTAAGCATCAAATCTCGAAGTCAGAGTGAACTCTTGCCTGTGGGTTGGCTTGACTAGGCTCAGCCACGGAGCTGCCTCAACCAGCCAGGGAACTATGACCAGGCTGACTCCTGTTTTCATGATGTCATGTATGTAGTATATACTTTTTCTCAATAAAGCATTTGTACCAATGGCTCTGGAGCTTGAAGGAAGACTAAAGGAATGTGTAGTGATTCTGAGTAAGGTGTGGACCTACACGGCAGAGCTGTCTGGAGGAGGAGAAGACAGAGGCCTTTCTTCCAGTGTCAGACCTGTCCAGATGGGCCACTAGGGCTACACTCTGAACTGTGACAGGTACTTGGTCCCTTAGGGGAGAGTCGAGAAACTTGCAATCGGGAGTTTTTAGCAAATAAGCACCAAGACATGGTTGTTTCTGATCCCTTCATCCAGCTGCTGTGAAGAGACAAGAAGAAGGGGGGCAAAAATGCTTTCTGTAGCAGCAGGAAGGTGGGTGGTGCTGCCCTGGTTTGTGCTAATGCTTAGTTATGTATATGTACCACTCTACAGCACCACCATGTGACTCTGTTTCCCTTTGGCTCCCACTTTTCTACTCCTTCCCTTCTGTTACAGGTCCAGAATCAACTCTAAACCTGCTTCTTTGAAATCAAGTTTCTAGGCTGCCTCTGAGGTATTTCATCACACCAAGTACTGGTGGCGGAGCTGTCCCGGTGCAGCTTTTGTGGAGATCTGCCTCTGTGCTTCCAGGTCATTGGGGAGTTAATGCTCTAAATTGAGGCAAGGAGACTGGCCTGCTGCCATTTTGTGGAAGCCATTTAAGTTGAGGCAAAATTCCATAGGAGCTTCCCAGGACCCTGATAGCAGATCTATTTGTGGGTGGCATGACTTGTCTATTACGAAAGACTAACTTCGGCTGAGACAATTCTGGTGTGAGTTCATTCTCTTGGGTATTATATAAAGGAGGCCAAATGACACCAAGGGAAAGGAAGAAAACTGGAGTGAGAGTTGGGTTCTGCTTTAGACTAGCTAGAATACTGTGGGCAAGTCATGGACGGCCTCTCCTGCTCTGCCTCAAAGTGCTACACTGGACCAATGGCAAAGAAGTCATCTCCACAGCCAGGCATTTTGTATGTTACTAAAATGCTCACATGTCTGAGATCTTTAAGGAAACATTTTACTCCACCCTTCCAGCTTAGGTTAGATTTACCCAAGTATTCCTAGTCCCTAGTAACACACTGTCCTCCAATCTGTCCTGGTTACCTGGAAGGAATGAAAGGGTTTGTGACATACAAAAGTATAAATGTAGTGACAGCTGGCCATTTAGTAGAAAGGAACCTTGCCTTACACAGCCTTGTGTGACTAGAAAAGCCTATGTCTTCTCCCTCCCCGCCCCAAGCCTACTCCTTTAGGCATGCAGGTAACTTGTCCTCCCCTCTCCATTTCTCCTCATTCCACCAGGGAACCCTGACAAGGAAGAAAGACGTCCTATAAAGGGGAGATCGCAAGTACCAATCAGCAGCCATTTGATGATGGCAGGTAGGTCTGACGCTAAAAAGAGGCTGTGTCCAGCAGAACCCAATTCCATAGGAATCCAAGCTCCGAGGCTGGGAGGCAGGGGTGCTGAGGACAAGCTCACTGCTGGGAGTCGGTCTGGAGGACCCACTGGAGGATCTCGTGATGACGCAGGCCCTGGACGGCATTGTCGTAGATGGTGTTCACGCTGTTGCAGAGGGGTTGCTGCTGCAGCCCTGTCAACCGGCATGCAACCAGCCCTCCTGCCACACACAGCAACAGCAGCAGCAGCAACACCTTCAACACAACCCAGGAGCGAGTGTGTTTTCGGGGTGGTGGCTTGCGAGGGCGAGAGCCAGACTTAGATTCTGGAGAGACAAAATAAGTCAGTTTGTAGAGAGCAATTCTAGAATCCATGCAGATCCACTCCCTTCTTAAGTCCTGAACAGATGTTTTAGAAATGAGAGCTAAATCCCCTGCTATTCAGAGATGCAAATGCAGCCTTCCCCAAGGTCTCTAAGCACTATGTACGATGGGATTCATTCTGTTGCCTTTTGCAGCTCAGTTCCCAGGGTCTTCCATTCTCTTTGGAACAGGGAGATGATCTGGGGTCCTCGGGAGCACACGAAGCTCATCAGGGGTGTTCAAAAAGGGTAGACTGCCACCCACTTAGGGGGAGTGGGTCCAAATTACTAATATCAAAAATGTCACCGTTATATAAGAAGTATAAACGAGTATGGTGGCACAGGTCTGTAATCCCAGCACTCAGGAGCCTGAAGCATTACGAGAAGTTTGAGGACACTCTGGGCTATAGTGTAGCTGTCTCCAAAGGAAAAACTGCATAAAGTCTGGCAACATAATGCCAGTCTCTATAAAAAGAAAAAAAGATCGGCCAGGGTGGTAGCTCATGCCTGGACGACCATGTGTGGTGGCTGTTTTCTAAGATCACCCCACACACAGCCTAGGCTCAAACTTAACAACCCTTCTGCCTCTACTTGCCTGGTGTTAAGGTACAAACATGTCAACATGCCCATTAATTTCTAATGAGAAACATCTTGAAATTTTAAGCAAAAAAGGGGGTGGGGTTGCTTGTTTGGAAACAGGGTCTCACTCCATCACTCCAGCTGTCCTGAAACTTGAGCACAGACCAAGCTGGCCTTGAGTGCAGTGACCTCCACCTCCACCTCCCAAGTACCACCACGCCCAATGCCCAATTTAGGCAGGAACTTTGAGTGCTTTTCTCACTTACTCTTTGCCTGCTGGCAAACAGTCTTGGCCCCTACCTTTAGCAAACAAGTAGTAGTGACATTAGGTGACTTGCTCAAGGCAAGGACAAATAAGCACAGGGACATAAACCACCACTCCGCCCCTGCTGCAAGCTGCTAATAGAAAGCAAACCTACTTGGGGCCTGATTTGTTTCCTTCTTGGGCTTCTTCTCCTGCTCCTTCTTGGAAGCTTTCTGGGCATCGTACTCCTTCCGCCGGCGCTCCTTCTCCTCTGCCTTCTCCCGCTTTCGCAACTCACGCTCCTTTGCTTCCTTAGCTTGCTGCTTGGCCTCCCGCTTCTTCTCTGCCTCTGCAACAGTTTGCATTCAAAACATGACTCCTCTCACACAACCCCCAGCAGCTTGTCTACACAAGCGATTAAAGTGTGGATTCATCTGCCTTTTCTTTTATGCCATGGGTCACACAGAAACTGTAAGAGAATCCAGGTCTGTAATCCCAGCATTTAGGGTAGGAGAGATGCTGAGGGACGTGTAGGATTATGAGTTTCAGGCTAGATTGGGCTAAAAAGGGAGAATCTTTGAAAAATGTACTCCCAGCACTCAGGAAGCTGAGGCAGAGGATCGCCTGCTCCAGGCTACTCTCGGCTACGCAATGAATTGAAAACCAGCCGAGGTCAAGTAAGTTACACTTAAAAATGAAGTTTGACCAGGTGGTGGTGGTGCTTGCCTTTAATCCCAGCACTCAGGAGGCAGAGGCAGGTAGATCTCTGTGAGTTCAGGGTCACTCTGCTCTACAAGAGCTAGTTCCAGGATAGGCTCCAAAGCTACAGAGAAACCACATCTCGAAAAACCAAAGTTTCTCTCAGAGGTCCTGAGTTCAGTTCCCAGCCAGTGCTACCTGCTGAGCCATCTCTCCAGCCCGATGACCTAGTTTTATCCCTAGGTCCCACATAGGAGGAAACAGACTCCCACAAGTTGTTCTCTTACGACCGCATGTGTACTGTGGGCACACACAGTAAATAACTAAGTTGTCAGAAGGCTGAGGGTAGGTGACTGTAAGCCTGGGAGTTTTAAAACCAGCCTGGAGAACAACTTCCCTCCACAAAAAGAACAAAAGTGCACAGAGGGCCGAACCTCCTGGTTATAAAGAAAAGATACAATGGAGATATTGGTTCTGTGGGATGAGTGTGAACAGGGAGGAAGACATGTCAGGGTCATAGTGCAATCTTTTTCTAAATAAAAAGTTACACCAGCGTGATTCAGAAAGAATCAGCTCAACACAAGATTTGCTCAGGTTGACTTCATGTGTGCTTACATGAGGTATTCTACTTCCAAATTATTGGTTCTAAAAATGCATTTTCAAATTAGTCATTTAGAAGCCTAAAATACATGTTTCTAAAGTCAGAATACCACAAAATGGTGGCTAAATGCCCTTTTAAGGCTTGAAAGCCTAGGGGATCCATAGTGGAGCTGAACAGTAGTACCATCGGGACAGTAGCTTCCCACTGCTCCATTTCATGCAAACAACCAGTGTCCGGCTGGGCACAGCGAATGCCAAGAGCAGACCACACCCAGCCTCTAGGGACCTGGTGCTGGCAAGGAGTGGATAAGCAGGAGTGAGTTGTCTTGCCACAGCAGCTATGCACATAGCAAGCAGAGTTGTAACTCCCGTATGGTGAGCTCAGGGACTGCCAGTAGTCATTACTGTGCACGTCCTTTCTCCCACTGCAGCTTACAAGTCAGCCAGCCAGTCAAAAATCACAGGGTGCTGAGATGCGGAGAGAAGACAGGCAAGTTCTAATGGTTGCATTATTTTCTTTCAGGATTAGTTTTAGTTTCATGTGCATGTGTACCATGTGTATACAATGCTTGTGGAAGCCAGAGAGGGTGTCAAGTCCCCTGGAACTACATAACAGATGGCTGTGAGCCACCCCAGGGAGCTGGGAATGAAACTCAGCTCCCTGAGTAGGGAGCCAGTGCTTGCAACCACCGAGCCATGTCTCCAGCCTGCTTGCTGTCTTTGAAAAATATTTTTAGGACAGGTGTAGTGGCACCTAACTTTAATCCTAGCATTCCAGAGACAGAAACAGGCAAATCTTTGTGAGTTTGAGGCCAGCCTGGTCTACACAGTGAGTTCCAAGCAGGGCTAAATAATGAGACCCCATAATAAATAAATCTATGATTTTTTATTAATTCCTTGATAATTTCATATAAGGTATTTAGATCACATTCACCCTCCTCCTAACTCCTCCCAGACCTGCCTCCACCTGCCTTATCCCCACCTTCATCGCCTTTTTTGTTTTTGCTGCCGGAGTTGGTTTGTGTTTGTTTGTTTGTTTGTTTGTTTGGTTGGTTGGCTGGTTGGTTGGTTTGGTTTGGTTTCATACAGGGTCTCTCTATATAACCCTGAACATCCTGGAACTATAGTTAGTGTGTTCAGGCAAAGTAATGGCTAAGTTGTAGTCTATGTGCTGCCAAAGAAAGTGCGCACAGGCTAATTTAATGGCATGCTCGCCTGTGTGGAGGATGAGGCTGGCCACCCCACTACCTTGGGACGCCATTCTAGATTCAGTGGAAAGCCAAGAAAGAGTTTTAAGCACACCATAGCAGTATCTGATCTATGTTTCAAAAAGATCCTGAGCTGAGAGGTAGAGGACAGATATGTGGGGATGGCACAGTCATGAAGACAAGGCAGAAGGCACTGTGGTCCCACAGGATGGTGAAGTCACACAGAAGACTCTAACAGAACGAAAACAGAATCATGGACATCTGTCCTACCTCAGGCTTGAAAACTCCAAGGAGTTTCCTCCTATAGAGAAGATTTCATACTGGGGTTTGAAAAGGGAGGTGAATCTGCTCTAGCAATTTGTTTTGTTTGTGGAAGTTTATTTTGGTATTTATAGTTCATTGGTTCTTTACTTTGGGTTTTGCTTTCTGAGATGAGGGTCTTATTTTGTGGCCCAGGCCTCCCAAATAGTGAGATGATAGATATGCGCCCATGTGCCTGGCTCCAGCTATGCTGAAGGTGCCTTTTTACCATCAGAGGATGGCCAACTCAAAGCAGAGACATTAGTAGTTGTTTGTTGACTGTGAGCCCGGCAGAGAAGCCTGGATGGAGAAAGGCATCAGATAACATGATGCCACTATACTGTCCCATGCTGTGTGCCCTCTGCCCCGGCCCCCACATACACATACTCTGCAGCACCCTCCTATAGATCCTGTTCCGGAAACCTAAGACTGCTGGCTGATTAAGGAAGGGGAAGAGGACTAGAAGGATGGCTACCTACCTCGCTCCACTTCCAGCCGGCGCTGCCGCTCCCGTTCCTGATCCGCCTGCACGGCCTTCATGTGCTGTAAGACCTGCAGGAGAGAAGAGGCTCTGAGCTACTCAGGTAGCAGTCCTCACAGCTCATGCTCTCATGTTGTTCAAGTCTCAGGAAAGAGACTGTTCACGTCAGGGTCCTAGACTATCAGGGGCCCTGAATGTAGGACAGGACCAGTGGAGATAATTCTATCTTTTATACCTTAAATACTTCATCACAGAAGAGTCACATGACTCCAGTTCATTAAGACTGCCAGAAAAAACTTTCCAGGAAAAAGCAACACCAACTAGAATCTATGAGAAGTTCTATCATTCCCACCACACTCACAGGGACAAGTTCCCATCATCCACCCAGTGGCTCCCAGTTTTCCCCAGGGAGACAGCATTCCTTTGAACATGCTCCCCGACCCTTCTCCTTCTGCTCCTGTTCATACGCTGGAATTCCCTCTGGCTTTGGTTTCCATTTCTTGAAATAAAGTAGTGATCAGTATCCCAGGCTAGCCCTGCATGTGTGGCAGTCGTGACAGGTATGAGCCAGCACACCAGCTAAGTCACTGGCAGGAACTGTTTTGTTCATAAGCAAGTGGCTATGTATGACAGATTGGAGGCAATGGACACCCATGAATGACTGACTGAATTTCTATTACAAAAGGGCGAAAATCAAGACAAACTGATGTGCCCAGGGCACACCGCAGAAAGTAAGAAACTGAGACCTGAGTACTGACTCACTAAGGAGAAGACAGTTTTAAGAGAAAGGCCCAAATACCACCCACTTGTAATTAGTACCCAAGGCCCCAAATTCTCAGGATCAACTCAATGAATGACCACTACCCAAGAGTCACAAATGTTCTCACTGTGGACACAGAGGAGAAGGAGCCAAATTCCTTTTATCTTCTCTGTTTATTTGTTTTTATAGGGCTTCTATATGTTAAACACATGCTCTATTATTGAGCTACCTTTTCCTCTCAGTCCTGTGATTTTTTTTTTCAAGGCAAGGTTTCTCTATACAGTCTTAGCTGTCCCTGTTCTGGAAACTCACTCTGTAGATAAGGCTGGCCTCAAACTCACAAAGATTCACCTGCCCCTGCCTCTGAGTGCCAGGATTAAAGGCATGCACCACCACCACCACCACCTAGCTTTTTGGTTCATGTTTTTTAGTCCTATAATTTTTAGAAGCTGGTGTTCCGTGAGTGTAACACCAGCCTCTGGCAATCCAAATTCTATCACTCTGTGTGATCTCAGCAAGCAATTCGGCTCTTTTAAGCCAATTTTCTGATCTGGAAGCCAGAGATAACATAAGCTTCTCTGACCTACTATGGTAACCTGCTCTGGCCACTCGGCATCTTCTGCAGCATGATGGGATTCAATAAACACTGCGGCTGAATCACACCATCTTTCCTGCGGACATAAGGAGCAAGAGGAAAACTGATCCACTCTACAGTTAGACAGCAGAAGGACCCTCAGGACAGGTCTGAGCATTCAAGTCCCACCCAGTTCTTGGCAACCTCAAGCACATACACACTCATCACAAGAGGAGTTCCACGGCCTGGTTTGAAGCCACAAACTGCTAACCCAGGACTTGGACCTATCAGCATCTCTCAAGGGAATCCAATTTATAAAAATCACAGCCCAACAAAGAACTGCAGGCATGGGAAGATGGGCAGACATGATGGCGAACAGAGTCCAGAAGAGTCCAAAGCTCCTGTCTCACTCCAAACTGGATACTAAGTAAGAAGTTGGCTTCAGCAGGTGTGTGGCTGGCTATGACATGTCTATTCATACCCTGGCTCCAAGGTCCCATCAGAAATTATCTGAAAACACAGGCAGCTCAGAAATGAGACTGACCTAAGGTGACTTCCTAGGGGCAGATGCTGTTCTAGAAACTTCTGACCTTATTTTGACTAGCCAATCCTCTACAATGCCTGAAGGTGCTGCAGCTTGGGGCAGCCGTGCCTGTGCTACCAAGGACTGTGGCTTTAGTTACCACATCTAAAATGCACTGTGCTACCTGGAGCACATCCGGAAGAAATATGTGACCAGAAGGGGCCTCTGCACTAAATACAAGCTACTTCTGTGGTCATAAGCTATGAATTATCTATGATTGTCATTCAAGCTGGCTTCAAACACACTACACAGTCAAGAATGACGTAGAATTTCCCCTCCTGCCTCATCACAAGTTCTGGGATTATGGCCTTACACCACCATGCTTGGTTTTATGTTGTCCCAAAGAGCTCAAGTTTCATGCACACTAGGCGAGCACCCTACCACAGTCCCCTCTGGATAGATCAGTTCCATACAGTCTAACAGTATCTGCTGAATGGAGATGACTGGTGCATGTACCCTGAGTTATCACAGGTCAGACAAAAGGGAAACACCCACTTCCCAGGGTCCCACCAAGTTTTCACAACAGGATTTCACAGAACGTGTGAGCCACAGCTTCCTATGCTGCTTTGCCTGGTTGGTTCTTACTTTTGAGCTTGGTTTCTTGTAACAATCATGGTGAGTTTATATAAGCCCTGAGTAGATAAGCGGGGGAGGCCATTGCTTTTGAGGCTCACAGGAGATCCCTCACACACATTTAGCTTACATTAACTGAGGTAATGCTAAGTCTGTCTTGCTCCCACAGCACCCAGGCATAGCAAACCATTGATGCTCAGTTGCGGAAGCAGCAATCTGTTCCTCTAGCAGAGTGGGCATGACTGAGGGTACAGCACTGCTCCTAATGAGCAAGGTAAGGCTTCACTAAGGAACCTTGTCACCAGAAAGGGCAGTCTTGCATAAATGCCTCTTCTTCCTGACTCTCTTGTCAGGACATGTCTATCTATAGCTACAAACTTCTAAACCTTAACCCCCTTTACAAAGGATTCAAAGCTGGGCAGTGTGGTGGTGCACATCTTTAATCCCAGCACTTGGGAGGCAGGCGGATCTCTATGAGTTTGAGATCGTCCTGCTCTACATAGTGAATTCCAGGACAGCCAAGGCTACACAGAGAAACCATCTTGGGGAGAAATAAATGTGTGTGTGTGTGTGCGTGTGTATGTGCGCACGCGTGCACACACATGCATGAGAGAGAGATAGAGAGGAGGAAGGAAGAGTAGGTACCTAAGGAGACCAGAGGTATCAGATACCCCTTGAGTAGCCAATGTGGACACTGAAAATCAAACTTGAATGTTCTGAAAGAACAGCATGTGCTCTTAACTGCTCAGTTGTCTCAGTCTCTCTCCAGCCTCTTAACCCTTTTTCAAAAGGTTTATTTATTTTGTGAGGGGAAGAGAGAGGACATGCATGTGCCAAGGGGGTAGTGTACATGTGGACGTCAGAGGACCACCCAGGGGAGTCAGTTCTTTCCCTCCATCATGTGGGTCCTCAGACTTGATGGTAGTAAGTACCTCTACCGTTGACTCACATTGCTGGCCTTCAATCTTGACTTTTTACTGGCTACATTGCTGCCTCAGAAAGGTCATGGCTTTAACCCTAGTAAAGCTATGTTTTAGTAATTAGGACATAGTAACTATGTCCTAGTAAAACAACTGTTGAAGTTGAGAGATGGTTTAGTTAGTTAAAAAAAAAAAACAAAAAAAAAACCTTGCCTATAAGCATATGGCCCTCAGTTTGATCCCAGCACTCATGTGAAAACACATAGTAACACACACTTGTAATTCCAGTGCTACTGAAGTGGGAACAAGAGGATCTCTGGGTCCCACTGGCCAACTAATCTTGCCTAAGTGGTCACTGATAGACCTTTTCTCAAAAGATAAAAACAGCATTCCTGAGGATGTAACCAATATTATCCTCTGGCCACCATACACAAATGCATGGTAAGAGGCTGGTGAGATGGCTCAATAGTTAAGAGCACTTGTTACTCTTGCAGAGGAGCTGGGTTCAGTTCCCAACATCTATATCAGGCAGCTCATAACTGCTTGTAACTCTAGGTCCAATACCCTCTATGGCCTATGTGAGCACCTGCAAGTATATGGAACACATACTCATGCAGGCACAGATACATAAATCCTTTTAAATAATAATAACTACTACATAAGTACAGTAACACAGACCTCTGCATGTCAGGCTCATCTCACTGAGACCTGGGTGCTCTAATAATACGGCACTATTGGTACCCTGGGAGGGTAAACAAGAAGAGAGAGAGAGTCAAGTCCCAGGGGAGAATGTGAGCAAGGCCCCCGGGAGCGTCATGCTTACCTTGTTTGCACACTGCTTACACTGTTTCTCATCCAAGCAATCTCCTGCCACCTTGGCTAGGACAGGATCCAGGGGATTGTCTTTCAGATCCAGCCACTTCAGATTCTACAGAGACAGAAAAAGGGACTGGCTAAGCCTGAGTTTACACACAGTACCTCAAAGTGGAATAAAAGGAGCTAGAATAAAACTATGTTCCATCTCAGACAACAGTCAGTTGAGCAGGGCATTTCTGGTCCCCTCCCCTGCTCAGGGCTATGCTCCCCTAGTCCCTGAGCCCTTGGTCACACTTGGCTAGGCAACCTTGGTGCATATTACCTTGAGCTGAGCAAAGCTGACAGGCAGGGTGACCAGCCTGTTGTTGAGGAGATCCAAATGCTGAAGGTTGACCAGGCGGCCAAAGTCTGCGGGCAGCTGCTGCAGCTTGTTCTTACTGAGGTCCAACTTCACCAGGTGTGTGAGGCCACAGAAATCCGACTAGGACCCGGAGAAAGAAGACTTAGGTCTAGGGCTTACACACTTTGATATAAAGGCATAGGAACCCCCAAGTCAAGAGTATCTCTGTGTAAATCCCAACCTTTGCCAACTACTTCTCTCCAAATGACAAGGAACGGAAAGAACACTGCTATTACAGTAGCTACCTAGACAAGCTTTATAAGACAGCATTAGCACAAAACCAGCATTAGAAACACATATAACCCACTCGGGAAGCAGAGGCAAGAGTATCTCTGTGAGTCTGAAACCAGTCTGGTCTACACAGTGAGTTCCAGGACAGCCAAGGCTGTTACACAGAAAAACTGTCTCAACACACCAAAAAATAAAATGCTATTTTTTCCCATCTTGCTGATTAGCTCCCATTGCCACACTGCTGCTAGGCAATGCAGAGCTTTTCCTGTCCTCCCATGATGCCCTCCTTTCATCTTTCATAAGATTTCTCACTGTAAATGGTAGTACAAACTTGTACTATTTGGGAGGCTGCTACAGTTGGAAGCTAGCCTGGACAGATAACAAAACCTCATCTCAAACAACAAATCGGACTACAGGGATAGCTCAGTGGTGGAGCGTTTGCCCAGCATACGCAAAGCCCGAAGTCTACCTCCCAGCACTATACACATAAAAGCTGTGCATAGCTTATCCATGGGGCCCTGGGTTCAATTCCCATCCTTAATATCCTCCTCCAAGAAAAGAAACACATATACACCTGATTTTTATAAACATGGCCAATACTTGAGTACTAAGTTTTAGCCTCTGTTTCTTGTGACACCTAGCACACAGTACTTTGCACAGGTCTCAATGTGTGTTAGGGTAAGTAACTCAATGTCTAGGACCTGTCCTACTCAAACCAGGCTCATTCTTAGCACAGGAAAAAAAAAAGTCCCTGACATTAACCTTTGCTAAGCGTCCATCTGACAGTGGCACTACAACTCGGCTAACGAGGTACTGTGTGTGCTCTGTGAGGACTCATACACACCAATGGGTCCATGTTGTACAGTCAAAGCAAAGTTCTTAGGACAGACAGATTCAAGAGTGCACTCAGGGGTGCTGAGTGACTGCCGGTCACAGTGGGTAGCAGGTGTGATGCTGCGAGGAGCTGCTACCCTTCTTTAATTAGATATACAATCCCTCCTGGAACAGAAGCCATTTTTAATGAGCTGTGGGAAGAAGATGCTGTTGACAATAGGAGAAGCCCAGGAGAACACTGAGAGGGACTGACTAATGATCCGATGAAGAGACGGCTAACTTCTGACTGAGCCAACAAGAGGCTACCCTAGAATCCAGCAAGGTATGACTGGCCACAGTACAGGATGCAAGAGGCATCCGACAGCAAGGAATGGCCTGACGACAAAGGAGTACCACGATAGAGGAGGAGGCCATTGCTCAGGAGAGGAGAGGCTGAAGGAATCAATGCCTACACGGTGAAGTAACAGCAGGGTGCAGTTATACCAATAATCCCAGCACTCAGAAGTCTGAGGCTAGGCTGGGGTACACAGAGAAACCCTGTCTCCAGAAAAAGGAGAACTGGAAGAAGTTGTGCAAGAAAAATCAAGAGGAATGATGGGAGAAGAGTGGGGAAGCGGGCATCTGAGCAGGATTCAGTTATATATGTACAAAGTGTTATAATGACATATTGTTTTCTATGCAAAAAAAAGAGAGAAAAAAGACTCCAAAAAACCAAAAACATCAAGAGGACTTGATATACATTGGGTATATTCCATAACAAGGAAAGCAAGTCTCAAGTAATTCAAGTTCAGGCTTGGGGGATAAAGGCAGGAGAGTCCCATCAAACCTCAGTCTTTCTTGTTCCTCATCATAAGATGTGTGGACGCAGCATGGTGCTTGGGCCTGATATCCCAGCTCTTGGGAAGCTAACAGGAGAGGACTGCCACCAATTTGAAGCCAGGCTGCACCATAGAATTTATATAATCTCAAAACAAAAACAAACCCCAAAACAAGTCAGGCACGGTGAACAGACTTACAGTCCAACACTCAGGAGGTGGAAGCAGAAAGCCCAAGACCAGCCTGGGCTACCTAGGACCTTGTCACAAAACAAACCAAGATGCAAGGGATGAGGGTGCACTTTTTCCATAGAATACAGAGCAAACTGACACAGTGGTCTCTATCTCCTTTATGCAAGAGCGGTAAACTACTTTTGTCAAGACGAAAATAAAGCAGAAAAAAGATGAGCCCAGTAAGTGATTCAGCAGCATCCTGCTGACTTGACTTCCTATAGCCTGCCTCTCCTGCTGTTCTAAAGAATGTACTTCTGAGGCAAACCACCCTCCTCCACTGGTTCCCACCAATACCCTCAGATTTAGCTGGACCCTGTCTGTAGACCTTTCCTGAAATTACACTTTATGCCACCCTTCACCCCCAGAAACACAAGGAACATCTAGGGCTGCAGGATTCACTGGTATTTGCCAGACTTACCGGAAGAGTGCTCAGTTTATTGCAGGACAGATCCAATACAGTGGCCTTTGGGAGTGCAGCCTAGAAAGAAGAGAAAAACAAGTCAAACCAACAACTGGAATGATTCAGTGACATCTGCTAATGAAGCATTTTCCAGAGAACGTTCCCACAATTAGCAAGAGCTATAGATAGATAGATAGATAGATAGATAGATAGATAGATAGATAGATAGATAGATA